TTATGTTATACTGTTATATTAATGTTCATTATTATAAAGCTGAAGGCGTACGTATGTGCTTATGGGTATATTTTAATACATATATATATATATATATATATATATATATATACGATAATAGTGTATAAATCTTGAATTTATTGAAAAAACAAATATACATATATTAAATATGAAACATATAATTACCTCTTAGTTGCTCTAAACATATATACAAATAAAAATATATAATTTATTGTTATTTAATTAAAATTTGTAATCAAACGAAATGTAGTATTCATTTAAAAACGTGATTCATTATTATTGGTGTATATTATTTAATTTATTATTTTCTGGTAGAAAAATCGTTTACGGACACAAAAAATAAAAAATAAAAAATTGTATTTATTAATTATATTTTAAAGTAATACATTATAGGAATGCAATTTTTTATTCACAATAAAAAACTGCAGGATCTATCGTTTCAAATTTACTAAGTACCTGTACATACGTCTTATAGTATTTACTATAAGGCAAGACTATAAAACATTGGTTCTCGGCCTTTGAACATGTATGTATTATTATACGTAACACAAGATATTTAGCGATTAGGAGTGATCGTCCCTATCTCCTTTCCCCTCTGAGCCCACCTCTGTAAATTATTATGTTTTACTTTTTTTGTAGAACTTTCGTCTTTCTTTTCCTTTTTCACTTTTAGAATTAGAATTTCAGGGCCACCCGATCAAAATAATTAAAGGTTGAGAATAACTAGTATAGAATAGTGAATACCACAGATTCTCAACGTTTTGTAACGTTTGAGTTATGAATAATTGTAACTTGGTTCCCTTAACGTTTTAAAATTTGAAAAAAAGATTTTTAAAAAATGGAAAAATTAAAAAAGTAACATTAAAAGATATAAAAAAGTTAAAAATCTTAACTCTGGACTGCATTATTTTTTTGTCTAATAACGTGATACAACGAAATATAATTTAATTTATGGATTATCTTGTAACTATAAGTACATTTAGTTTGTCTATTTTAATTACTATTTAGTAAAGGGAGTATTGAAGGCCTTATCCTTCCCTGTTAATTTTTAATTTTGTTTAAAAAAAAAAAGGTTACGTGAAAAATTGGGTAAATATCTTTTGTCATAATATATACACAAAGATTAAGAACCGCTGTTCTAGAATATATTATTGGTAGGTTATTAATTTTTAATTTATTATATTTGTTGACTCGATAATTAATATGTTATTAAACTTAATTTAAATGAAATAAAATAAAAATAAATAAAATAAAAATAGGTAACTTTTTTAAAGAAAAAGAACTAAACATGTAGATAGGTACAGTACAGTACTTACCATAACTATTGTCTGCGTTTCGTGCAATTCAAATTGATAATATTATAACGGTTTTTTAAATAGGTTAAAAATATAGGTAATTACTATTTAAATAATATAAGTAATAATTCATTCATTGATAGGTATTAATTATTATTTACCTGTAGATACTTTAAAATTCGTTTAAATAAATAATTATTTGTGTGTAATTCAATCGACTTACTAAGATATTCTTGAACTGTTTTTATAACATTTATTAGAAAAAATAAATGTAAATACAATATTCGTCAATAATTTACAATTCGATATAAAATAATATAATGCTAGTAATTTTTTTTCACCGATTTAGTGTAAAGTATACTTTGCAATAGGGGAAATTGTATAAATCAATTTTAAATGGACTTAATTTGTTTAAGACGTCACTTAATCTACGATACTCTTGGGATTAAGACGAATTTACCGACACCTCAATTAATAGGTAAGGTAAAATTTAGTAATATCTTAAATATAAAAGAGCTGATACTGGAGATGGGAGCGGCTATTGTTGTAGATGAGAAGTTGGGAAGGTAGGATACATAAGGTTATTTAATTTATATCTGTAAGCAACGATAAACTATTGCTTGATGAAAGACGATTCTGAGCGCAATTCGGAAATACATAATTTGAAGTGCCGTAGTTTTTTTTTGCGATTTTCATTTAAATTTGATTTCAAAACGCTTATAGAAAAAAAAAAATGTCGTCCGATAATTTTGAAAATTTTATCATGTCTAGGTAAATTCAATATAAGTATTATTACTAAGTTTCAAGTCTCTACGTGTATTAATAACCGAATTACAGCAAAAAACTCCCAAAAATTAAAATTTCTTAAAAGCTCAAAAGTTTTGGAAATGATACAGGAATGAAGTAAATCAAAAGGCGACAAATAGATATCTTGAGAATTTTCGATTAAATCTATTTTTTTTTTGGTGGAAAACGTCATCCGTGTTTTTATAAAATAATGAAATTGTTAAATTGTACGTTTTCCTACGTATTTTCTCACTTAAGTGCTTTTATTAAAAAAAAAATGGAGTCAAAAATCGAAAAATAACCCGTTTAAAATACCATCTAAACAACTTTAGCTTTCATAAAAGTTGTTACACTGTTATAATGGGTAATTCGCGATAAAATAAAATCATCTAATGTTGTTACTTGCTGGTTTTATGGTTTAAAAGAATATTTTGACGAAGTAATAGTATTTTTTATCAATTAGAATTTTTTTTTAAAATAAATGCCTAAAATATTTGTAAATTTCGATGATATTTAAATTGTATAATATAATGTAAAGGAACATAATAGATATTCATGGATGCATGGTACCCACAATAATCTTCTAAAACTAATCGTACTATTATACGATATTATAATACATATATAACCTCAATGGTTTTATAGAAAATTAATATCATGATGTATACTTACGTTTAGTGTAGTCTGAGTATATTGTATTAACATAATATTAAAAACACCATTAGTTTGGGCGATAAGAAGCTGTGATTTTCCATCTTTGTAGCGCACCATGGGAATTTGGACGGGTTTTCATTTCAACGTACTGATTGCATTCAGTGTAGCGTTAAAAATTCTGGAAATAGATTTGAATTTGTCGTCAATTCTACTTGAGACAGATCACTTTTCTTAAACTCTTGAATTTTCTCCCAAAATTTAAAATATTTCATATTTTTAATTAGGTGCTCTTTATTTTAGTAAGTCTTTTTCGAGTTTTAGAAGGATAAAATTAAAAATTCGGGAAAATCAATCACAAATAAACTTAACGACACACTCAAATCTGTTTCTCAAATTCTTATCATTTTACTATATCAATCGAACGTTGGAATAAAAACATGTCTACATTCCTTTGTTGTGCGTTTGCTAGATTATAATGGAGAATCACCGTTTATAATACTCTTAAGGATTGGTTGTATTAGGTATATAAAACTATTAAAACTATTATTATAATATAAATATAGTGATTTTTAGAAATATGGATTACACTCCGATTTTCGATGAATGATTTTAAAAATGACAAAGACAAATGACAGTGAGATATATCTAATTTAAACTTGGTGGGAAAAAATTTACATATTATGTAAAATAACGAAGAAAAAAATTAAAAATATTTGTACCGGAATCATTGGATTTGAACACGATACCGTGGATTAACTTGCAAAGATGGTCATTAGGCCATCGTCAATATAAGTAGTATAATCAATATTAATGGATCAACGTAAAATATTATTGTAGCAAAAATATCACGGTAAAATTATAGCAGTTAAATAACGTTGCAAAAATTAAAATGTCGTTGTTATATAAAAATTTCACTTAAATAATCGTTAACAATACAATAACATAAATATAATGAAAAAACAGTCCTAGGATAATGGGGACGGGTGCATACACTGTTGTTGGGAAGGCAGGATATAGAGGGGAAATTAATTTGTATCCGTAAGCAATGATAATCCATTGCTTACTTAAAATACGATTCTGAGCGGAATTCAGTTGATAGTGATGCTATGTCAACAATGTATGTCATATTAAAATAATATTATGGCAAAGTAATTGTATAGGCAGTATACATTTTCTTTGATAATATTTGTTTAATATTGTACCAATTTTCCCATTTTCCTTACTTTTTCCTGGTTTCCCGTGTTCTTTCCAGGTTTTCCACATTTGCTGGGAAAACTCTTGGGAAAATTGAAATATGTCCTTCCTAAAGTACCTCCCCAGTCAGATTTCCTTTTGGAAAAAGTGCTATCATTGTAAATCAGAGATAAATTGCGGGTAGAAAAAGTGAAAAAATACAAAAATACAAAAATAAACATCTTTGTAAAACCATTACATTATATGTTCCATTCAGAATCTAATATATTCATTGTTGGTTCTGAAAATTATGAGAAATTTTATGTAAATAGTGGTAAATTAAACTTATTAAGCTATTACTTTGTGTAATTGTTTTTATTTTATTGACAGATTCTTTCTATTTTTTTTCTTAGATGGCTCAAAGTTCGATTTTAAAACGGTTTAAGCGTTCTTGTTTTAGTATATTTATTGATGTCCAGATTGAAGTGTGAATAAATGAATTAAATCAATCACCTTTTTACCGTGATATTTTGACGGGGCACCAATATTAACGTCGTCTTTACGATTTTTAACAAAATTTGAAATTCAAACTTATATAAAAACATAATATGTTTACCTATGAATTGTATATTGTGCTCAATTTTTTTACTAGTAAGAATCAGATGCCGTTGCTCGTAAATTAGAATGTTGAAAGTTAAAATAAAAATGCTGTCATATTGCTTCAAAGAAAATGGCTAAAGCCAGTGGCGTAATTAGAATTTATTTTTTTTGGAGGGGTGGGGGTCTTTATTTAAAGAGTTGTGACTGACTACTCACGCGTAGGCCACTGTTTCAGGTGCGTAGTTTAGAAGACACGAGATTTATATACAATCCTGATTTAGTTTATATACTTTATGCAAAGATATAAATTTTAAATGAAAAGGGATTCTTAGCGGAGCGTTAATGCAGTATAATATTCGTGCATGGTAAAGACACGTACTCGACGAATAATTTTCGTAGCGTTATAATAATATTATGTATTTATGCAAAATGATACGATTATAAAATAATAAAACAAAAGGAAAAACTCACCTGCGTAGTTTTTCATGTCTTTTGACGAATGTATAAAATATGATATGATCAAGATAATAATAAACATTTTAATAAGAAAATAAAACATTTATAAAAACTTTATTTGAAATGTATATTTTAGGTGAAGGTATAATGATTTCATAATTTGAAAAATTAAAACAATTAAATATGAAAACAATAATTAGTATTATAATGATGCAATATTCGCAATAATTATGGTTTTGTTTGTACTTTATTTGTCTTAAAACCTACTTGGAGATATTTTTAAAAATTCGGTAAATGGGGCTCACATTTAGACATTGTACTTATTGTACGAAGATTGATTTTTTTATTATTATGATTTTTGAGTTTCAGCGTTTATACATATAACAAAAAAAAAAAAAAAAACTGTCGTAGGATAATGTAGATCTCTCTCTTTTCACTAGAAAAATGTATACCCAGTGAAGAATATTATATAAAAATATAATTATTATTTTTTAAATTTTCCAAAAAAAGATAATTTTTTGTGAAAATTAAAGTATTTCAATTTTTATTTTGGTGCAATTTATGTTTCAAAGTTTACACTTACCATCTAAATCACGTATCACTTTTTAGATAGACAATAATATATTAATTTATTAAATTTGTTGTTAAATGTTGTAATGTGGTTGAAACTATGCAGATATATGAGAGAGTGAGAGCCACCATAATAGTTCCTTAATTTATAAACAAATTTAATTAATAACAAACTTACACGCGTCTTCGATTTCATCTTTAATGACAAGTGTTTTTTTTTCTAAAAACAATAATATATAATGTAAAAAAATAAATTAGTATTTTTAATAAAAATTATTCAAATTTTAGATTGAAATAGCAAAAAATCGTCAACAATTTGGAATTTTAAATGAGATAATTTTTAGTTTTATTTAAAATACATTGTCTTACCTATATTTAAAAATGTAAATATAGGTAATGTAATTATGTATGTATTGAGTATACATGAAATCTTATGCATTGGCAGCTGGTATGTACTCACCGACCATGTAACCAATATGTTCTCCTAAATAGTCTAATTTAAATTTTTTAAAAAATAATTTTGATTAATAAAACTAGTTTCGCCGTAAAAGGGTAAAAAAATCCAAAAAATCATATCCAAACAAATATTCGCATTTATACTATTAATATTAATATTATATACATATATTTAAACAGGTTATTTTATAAAGTGGTATACCCATATTAAAAAAAAAATGTTGGACATACTAGGCATATACTAAAAGTAATGATACATCATTCCAATTAAAAATCGATTCTGAGTGGAGTAGTATGAGTTGAAAGTAGTCGTGTTTAGATTCTCTTGTAGAGTTTTAATTCATATCCAACGAAAATCAAATATAGATTTTGATGTTTGTTGGTAGTTTTTTAAAAATTTAAAAAAATTAACGGACGTTTAGAAACTTGTTTCAAATGAAGAACCATTGGGTAATAAGTTCGTTTTTTTAAGATGCATCGTAAAATATTGACAATATTTTTTTTGACCGAATAAGTGTTGTCCGAATGATCACATCTTAGTAAAACTATAATAACTTTTTTGCCACAATCAAACTTTAAACATATTTCTGTATCTGGGGTGTAAAAGGTACCACATAACATGTACCTATAAATAATATACCCATCAGAGCAAAATCATAACAAATACGCCACTGATAGGTATTATTATATGGTTGATAACACATTAGATATTATATTATTATACAGTAGCTGTCTATTAATTATAATATTGATTATTCGTGGGTTGTAATCATATTTTCTTAGTATAAATATTCAAAATTATTAGGAATAATCGAAAAATAAAAAACAAAAAATTAATAATAGATAAACATATACAGATACCTTCGAAATCCTCTACAGCGTGGATTCAAAAAAATACATAAAAATATAATTAAAGGATCAAATAAAATAAAAATCGACTATCTAATGTATGCCTACATCTTTTTATCCTTCACCTTTATACTAACTATTTGAGGCCGACCACCATCGTCCTTAATTTCCACTTGACTTGATCTCCTATCTTACATACATCCAATTACCTCTTTTGCCTTCCTCTCTCCCTCTTACCGGCAACATTTATTTTCATTACAATTCTTACTGCTTCTGATTCCTCTCTCTTCACAGCATGCCCAAACCACCTTAGATTATTTTATCTCCTTTTGCATACTACTAACGCCACGCCTAAGCTATTACCTCTTATATACTTATTCCTTATCCTATCTTCTTTCATTACTTTACTCTCAACCTAAGCATACTCATCTCTACTACATTCATTATTCTGTCTACTGCCAAACACTCCGAACTATAAAACATAGTAAGTCTTATGGCACTTTAATATGTGTACACAATATATGCTGAATTTTCTATTTTTATTATTCTATCAATGTATGTATAAATAAAGGGTTATTAAATAAAAATATATTATTTATTAGGTTCATTAATAATTAGTCAATAGGTACCTAGATAGCCATCAACCATTAATTTTCAAATCATTCTTAAACTGATATTAATAACTAATAAGTTAATAAGCTAATAAGCAGGAAAAGAATATATCTTATAAAAGTATTAGAGCACTTTTCATCTTCTTTTTTTCCTTCACTATGAAGATTTGATCTGAACTATTTGAGGTTGACCACTAAACTTCTCTCATATCTTGCATACACATGCCAGTATATACATTTTTAATATACTTAATTGTTGAAAAATATTGTTCTGAATATGTTTTAATTTATTTATTCGAATACGTATTTTGAATATACAACATAAATATTATTTACAAGACTGCAACATACCGGTTCTATAAATATTAAATATGTGATTACATATTTTCAATACTGCTGTCTACTTACTGACAAGATCCACTGTAAATAATTTTAAATTGGTTACGTTGTTGGTGTAGACATAATAATTATTAATGTATTATTTTTTATGCTTTATTATGGCTTTTTTTTGTTATCAACAGAATACAAACTATCAACATATTATTAAATTAATATTAGGATACTCGCACGAGTACATACTCATACTCATGTGATTAATCATTATTATTAGTTGAAATAATTATCAAAGTTTCGCACATGAAAAATATGATACTGATAAATTATTAATAGAAAAATGAAGAACAAATTATGATACATCAGATGTATAAAGATTATAGATCATAATAAAATTAAAATTGAAGACTGGAGCAACTTACAGATGTAACAACCAGATTTCAAATTGATCAAGAGCAATATTATACGAAATTATTTATTTTTTTAAATTTATCGGATTATTACACCGAAATTTTTTCAGAAAACCATATCTGATTGTATTTGTATTGTAATGGATTTATCTGATTTTTGTACCAGAATATATGTATAGAGAATTTTTTTTCTTTAAATTATGACATCAAAAAACTGACCGGGTTCTCTTCAATTACTTATACTAAATATATTATTTAACTATTGAAAAATATACTTACCCTTCTTTTTGTCTATAGAATTATTATTAAGTAGGAATGTATATTAGTGAGTGAAATATATTATAGGTAATAGTATATAATACATATATATTTATTTGATGTGTTGTGTTTAGTTATTGGGGCCTTTTAGAATGAATTTCGCCCGATTACATTTTTAAGACTTCAGTGCTACTGTAATACCCATACCTACTCGGAGTCGAAATTACATTAATGTCTATTCACAGGGTTGGTTGATAATTATTTTTAAATGTAGATTTTTTTGAACATTTAAATATTACCATTTTCGTTCTGAATAATATTTAAAAAATAAATAATAACTCCTATAATGTTCTCGCAGTGGCATATTCATGAGGTGGAGTGGGGGTTGGTTAAGGGGCTTAAACACCCTAGAGGCATACAATTTGTATAGTATTGGTTAGGATAGGTATGATTTAAGTGGACATACCCGTCTAAATTGTATTGATACACCCGTGCCCTACCGCCCACCAATTATCCATAAAAAAAAAAAAAAATAAATATCGTAAATACGCTACTGTGAACTAGTTCATATTATATTATTATTATACCCATTATGCTTTTATGATTGTAAAAAACTAAATAATTTTAATTTATAGTTAAGTAATACTCGTAATATTAATAACAAGTTTTAAATCTATAGTTTCCACAGTTTTTTAATTTTTAGGTAGGAAATAAACATTTCCGGGATGAAAGTAGTCTAGATCAGTGTTTCTCAACCTTTTTACTGTCGCGACCCCCTAAATAAATATTACATTTTTTAGCGACCCTTAAATATATATTTTATACATGGCGACCCAATATTTTTTATTTTTGGTGACCCTAAATAATTAGTTGGAGACTTCCAACGGGGTTGCAAACCCCAGGTTGAGAAACACTGGTTTAGATTACTTATTGCAAAGTCCTATACTTGCCTATGGAAATTTCGTCAAAATCGATTTAGTTGTATCGATGATTAGGCCGGGACACACGTACAAGATCTTTTATTTTATTTACATATGTATATAAAATATAGATGTTTAGATGTAAACATAGATTTATAGATAATCCCCCACAGAAACCTTAAACGCTCAGCTCCACCACCCAGGGCCTGTTTTCTTTTATATTATTTAGGTTCATCCATTAGTTTCAAAATAAAATCTTAAAAACAATATTATATTGTAATTTTAAATAATATGCAAAATTTCAATTCATTTTGAATTTAAATAGTTACGTCTTTTATAATATTATTTTGACAGAAATATCAACTAATCGTTCAATTGTTTGCGAAATTAGAATTTCAATAACTTAAACAAAAAAATATATTTCCACATTCTGCAAAGGCGTTTATTTCACTTTAAGAATTATAACCGAGCCTATATTTGTTTAGGTTATTTAATATGGTAATATAATTCAAATGACTAGTTAATTACTGTAATTTTTCTATAATATATATACAACGTTTTTTGACTTTTGATTTGAAATCAATGTCAAATTATTATCATAGTTTACCACAGTGGTATAAGTAACAAAACATAATTTTATATAATTATGAAAAAATAAAAATATATGTATGTACGTACGTGTTATAGTGCCTGAATGTATTACAGAAATAATGAACTAATATGATTAATTGGAACCTATTATAATACAGAGTAGTGGATCCAAGAGATAGGCAATGGTGTCATTTGCTTGCTCCTCCCAAAAGAACCACCATTTAGTAATATGATTATTTTCTTGTATCGGTGTAAATATATATTATTAGGTTCTATGCATAATTTTTTTTTACCATCGAACCTGTGTTTTAAATTTTTGACAATTATGAATGTGCCAAAAAAATTATATCCATATAAATCGAAAAATAATATACAAAATGCCTTTATTTTTACAATTTCCATTAAATTTGAACTTTAAAAAAATGACATACTTCAAAACGATGGGTAGGCCATTGTAGTAGTGAAGTTGGTAAAGTAAGATATAGTGAGAAATTTAATGTATAACATCTGTACGTAACGATTAATCTTTGCTAACAAAAAACGTTTCTGAGTGGAGTACTGTTATACGTGTTTTAAAAGGCCATACTATTTACGATTTTCGTCAAAATTTGAAGTTAAAATTCTTATACAAAAAAAAAAAAAGAAAATACCATATTAAACTCAACTTTTTTTGTTGGCCATAATAGAAAAACCAATATATTCCTCAGAATTTAAAAAAGCAAAATAAGGATGTTTTTCAGTTGTGCAAGGCTACATGTAAAATTTAAAAGTTACAATTGTATTATATTTTAAAACAACCGTCTACGTACTTGATATATCGCCTGTAAGTAGATTTTAGAATTAATTAAAACCAATAATAATACAGTTTTTCATAAAATTACAATATTTGTATACAGAATTCTCGTGTCACGTGTTTGTGGTCGTATTTCTCTGAAACGGCATGACCGATTTTTATGAAATTTTTTTTGTATATTTCGTAGATATAAGAATAGGTCATAAAGTACTTTTCACCTTCCTACCTCCACCTACTATTTTTAAATCGGGATTTTAGTATTTTCGCTTATATATATATATGTACATGTGCAACACAAAATAATTTAGCTTATAATTAAATAAATACGACTTTTTTTGATGATTTGTACCTCGTACTTGTTACCTCGGCAACAGGGATGAAAAAAAAATGGTGATTAATTATTATTAGAAATTAGTCGAAAAATATTATGTGATCATTAAAATCGGTCCAGCCGTTCTTGAGTTATAATTGGAGTAACTAACCCGACTTTGTTTTATTTATATAAGATTTTTGTTTTTTCAAGGGTTGCCATGGAAAAGAAAACTATTATAATTATTATTATTACTATTATTTACACTATTCAAATTTTACAATAGAACACATTTAGTCCGCTCCACTTTCCACCTATTTGTTTTCATTTAATTCTAACATGGCCAAAACCAAAAATGAATATGGGTAAAATAATAATAGTACAAATTGGCACGGCCAACCCCGGGTGCGGGATAGTTAGTATACATATACTATCTTAAATTAGTATCTATATTGTTCTAGTGTATAAAAAAAAATTTAAAAAATCAAACTCACCAAGAACTTTAACTGTGTATGTATAAAACATGAAAAATAATTTGATTTTAAAAAAATGTATGCAAGAACAGTAATTCAATATTACATTTTATTTGTAAATTGAACTCATGAGTAATGGGTATTATGAAACATTTAATATTTGAATATTGCGATATATATTTTATTGTGATCCTTTATAAAGGCAAATATCGCATACATTATTATAGTAAAAAAAAAAAATTAAAATTATTAATTTAATACTAGTACCTACTGAATAAAAATTAAAAAACTCAAAAACTCAAAAATTAAAAAAAAAAAACGTAAAATTAAAATCTCTATAAATAGTTTAATACTGTCACTAATATTTTGAAAATTTCACTACGTTTAAAGAAGGCAAATATAATTTTTGTGTCAAAACTTCAATTTTTTACGAATATGTTTAACTGAATTACAAAAAAAAAAACGAAACTGAAAATAATAGAAACCATTTAAATTTTCCCGTTCTTTCTACTTTTTTTTCGGTTAGGCTCAATTATTGAAAAAACTACTTTATACTTACTAATTACTAATTAATTAAATTAAAAATATAATATGATATTTCTTTTGTTGTTTTTCTATTGAAGAAATATACTTTAGTGGAAAACATTAGCCGTAAAAATTTAAAATAAAAGAACCGTGAGGTCATACATTTGATTGTTTTTCATTTTTCATATTTTTCTGGTTTTCACTTTTATTATGAAAATAACTTGGAAAATCAAAAAAAGTACCATTTAAATCAAAAATATATAAGAACGTCTCTTTTCATTTTTTGTTCAGAGTAAGTGTTCTAGGAGAAATTTTGAACATATTATAAAAAATTAAAAAATAAACACCATTGTAATACGCTCCGAATATAAAATAATAATATTGTATTTCACTAATAAACAATGTTGAATAGTTAAAAATTTACTTACAAATCCATACAACTGAGTAGAGTCAAAAAAATCGAAAAATATAAATAATTATTGTAAGAACGATTTTTCGAAATAATTATTATGCTATAATCATTTACAATAGGTTTACCAAACTAAAATATAATACACAATATAAAATAAGAAATAAAAAAAAAAAATAATACTAATAAAATATTTTATTGAAAATTATTTCTTTCTATTTCTTATAAAATATTATTTAGTTTTAAAATGTTTTAGAATATACTTACGAAATATTTTCACTATTTAAATAATTGAAAAATACGAACGTTAATATTCTCATTAGGTATGCGGTAATATTCGATTTATTTGATTCAATAAATTTAGAACAATTGAAATTGTGTTTACACCTAAACTTTTAACAATTACCTACTTGTTATTTGAGAAAGAATATTGAGTAAAGAAACAGAAAACAAAACATTATTATATATTTAAATATTTTTCAAATAATATCCACTAAATAAATTCATTCTCATCATTAGGTACATACATTTGTTAATATTTTACCTGCCTACATAAAATATAATTATAAATAATCTATTTGTTGTTAAGTTGGTCAACTTTATTTTAAACTAATACTTATCCGTGAAGACCAAATGAGGATAAAAGTAATTATTATCCCTCCCCCTAAATAAATTCTTGGATATGCCCCTTAATATATAGTAGGACAGTATAATAGAAAAGAAAAACAATTCTGGTATAGATAATTAACAGCCAGAAAACGTATAATTTAGAAATAATTTAAACTTTTTGATGAGCTTACCAATTCTAAATTTTATTGTATATTTTTAGAAAAATAACAGATTGAAATAATAGCATAATGATTAAAATCTTCTACTTCTTCTTCTCCTTCGCCTTTATCCCAGCTATTTGAGGTCGACCATCCTAATTCAAAACCTCCACTTGACCTGATCTCCCACCTCGGATACAATTTTAATTTGGTTTTAGCATTATTCAATTATTTTTTTTTATGGATTACCTTAGTTACACGGAAGAAATGAAAACAAAAATGTTAAAGTTTGGTTAAAACGTATCTATTGTAATTAATTTAAATAAAAATAATTCTAAAGATCTATGTGCCATGTTATTTTATGCAATAAAATATAATGTTAAAAACTTCCTTTACGTAATTTCATCAATATGACAGTAAGTACAACAATTTTGTCTATTTGTGTGTGAAATATAAAACAACCCTATATTTTTTTTAATCACGGTTTTAGTATTTTCGCTTATATATATACACACCAAATAATTTAGCTAAAAAAAAAAAAAAAATAATAAACACGGGCTACGCTGAGCGGGACGCTTCACAATTATTCTAGTTTTCCCCGATAATATACGGAAGTACACTTCTGCTATCATGAAGAAATGTTATTGCAAAAAACTATTAGTTCGCCGAAGGTGGACTACCCACTTGTCCCCTATTTGTTTTTATTACTATTCATTATTGACACGGTCAAAACCAAAAAAGAATATGGGTAAAAATGGCATGGGCAACGTTGGGCGGGACAGCTAGTAATATTATATTAAGAATTAAATGTTAATCATTTTAGTAATTTTTTTTGTACCATATTATATGTGTTGGTAACAATTTATACGATTGTTATACACATTTTAAAGGACGATGCTGGGTGTCAGTGGTAATAGTTTAATATTTGGTATTAGGTGTGATTAGTTTGCCCCTGGGGTCTGCGATGTCTCTCCACGGCCCTGCACTTAATTCTGTATTATACATACTTTTGTCTGTTCTCGTATACATCTGATATAAAACTATTCGCCCAAACCTTGTTTAGGATTCCTCAAACTATTTGACAGTATTTTTACATCGGTTGTCGTTCTGACGCAACCCCATTTGTTGTCTCTTACGAGTTACCATGGTTACCATGGGAGTGTTCTAATTTTCGTCCACGGGGATAATATTATAATTACTAAAATAATAATAAAAATGAAAAACTACAATTTTGAACGCACTTACTTTTACTCGAAAGAGCGCCTGTTTTTATAATACAAATAAATAATAATTTAATACAACTTTTAATATTGTCTAATATTATGAACAATGCTTGTTTTCTCTAATTTTTTTTATTCAATTTTTGTGACGTTTTGTACCTTCATTAAAAATAAAATAAACACTTTTGTATTTCTTTGGTAATATTAGGTATCTAGACGTATTTAAAATTACTCGAATTGTTTTTATGTATTTATAAATTAAATATAATTGCTAGCCGTATTTTTTATTTATTAAACGAATTTCAGTCATGATTAATTTATTAATTGATTATCGTTTGAAATATAGCTATTAATTATCTATTTACAAATTATAATTTTCTTTTATTCAGATAACTTATTAACCCTTCCTATACACTTCCTTATTAAAATTATAATATTTGGAAAATTAAATAATTGAAAAAAAGGTAATAAAAACGATAAATATAGTTGACTATGTACTAATACTTACTGTATAATAGAACTTTAAGCAAAAAAGATTAAAAATATAAAACAATAATTTAGTATGATGCGTATTATTAGAACTTGCAAAATAAATTATGTAATTGATTTAAATGAAAATAAAATACGAAATAATATTTGTTAGGTATGTTGAGATTACTTCTTCAAAAAGATGAAATAGTTGACAACAAAAATGTGAACATAAATACCAAAAATAAAGCTAAAAAAAACTTGTGGATGTATGGTGTGTGATTTTGTATATTTTATAAATGTGAGATTTATCAATAATAAAAAAAAAAAGAGCTGATACTAAAGACGGGTGTGGTTACTGTTGTAGGTGGGTAGTAATAAAGGTAGTAATAAAGTAGGTAAAGTGGGCTACATAAATTTATTTAATTTATACTTGTATTCAACGAAAAATCATTGAAAATGAAAAACGATTCGAAACGAAGTTCGGTAAGGTATGTATTTTGAAACGCTGTCATTTTAACGATTTTCGTCATCATTTTATCTTAAAATGCTTATAAAATATTGAGTTTTATATTAAATTTGTTTGAACTGCTGAGTACAACCTTTGATGTAGCTTGCGTTAAATTTTCAAGCATTTCTCTTAAGTCATAAAATTTTAATTACATGTACCTATCAAATAAAAAAATTTATAAAAACACCAAAATAACAAATACCTAGAATATTTGGAACATTTTATTATGTCTACAAAAGTCCAATACAAGCATTTAGTTAAAATTACAGGTTTCTACTGTAGTTTATAACCGAATAAGAACAAAAAACATAAATGCCTTACACTTTGCTGTATTTCTAATGTTTTTTCCCGGTTTTTCTTAGTTTTTAGAAAAATAATACGGAAAAACAAATAACTTTTTTACTAAAAAATGGGAAAACATTTTCTTTCATAAAATTTGCTATTCTTGAAATGTGGACAAAGATTTTTGGTAGAAAAATAAACATTTTAAATAATAAAATCGTTGTGCCGTAATTTGGTAAAAAATTTTTCTCCGACTATTGTGAAAACTGTTTTGGATACCAAAAAAAAGGATTTTTTTTTAACAATGGATTATATATTGAAATGATTAAAAAAGGTCAATTAAAATTTTTTGATTAAAAAAATATTTCTGGTTGGAAACAGTTTGCGAAAATTAAAAATAATGAAATCGGTGATGCCACGGTGCGCTATAAGTATTTGCCGTTGTTCCGATAATGTTTTTTCGGTTTTTCCCAATTATTCTTAAAACTAAAAAATGACCTACTAAATATGCCAACTATAGAAAATTATCTTTCATAAAAAATGTTATAATCTATTCATCGGAGCAAGATTTGTGGTAGAAAATTTGTTTGCCGAAAATGAAAAAAAAACACACTCATCATAGTAAAACCAATAGATCCCTTGTTACGCTTTGAATCTACAAAAGGCAAGCTACATCATTTGACATCTTATCCAAAACTTTTCATTTTATTTAGCAAAAAATATTAAGTCAATGTTGGAAAAAAAGAGTTCGAATAGAACTATTTTGTTTAGAATTAATTAGTACTTACATCTCAAACTGTTTTCAAATTCGTCTAAATTGTAATGATAAATATCACAAATTCAATAACTTTATTATAATTATTATTAATAAAATAAAATATCTATTAAGATTAAGTGGTATAACCATGATTGTGATTGAATCAAATATATAATAACTAATCAATTTAAACGGCAAAGCATTGGTCGAAATTTCAAATAATATAAATAAAATATTAATAAAGAACCAGATAAGGAAAATAAGAGTATAAAATACATAAATAGTTTATACTTTCTACTATTAAAATCGAGTTGTTCGTTGCTAAACGATATATATATTTTTTTATTAAAATTCAAAGCTTACAATTAATGTATCATATATATGTGCTAAATAAAAAAAAAAAAACAACGTAGGTGCAAATGGTTGAAAGAAATACAGAATTTACTTTTCTCCTTTACTGTGGGTTTTAATAAATAGGAAAAAAATATTATAAATAATATGTAATATGTAATATGTACAATTTACAATATGTATATACATGGTTATACATTTAAATGAGTATACTCATTATCTCGGAAAGCATTAACTTTTATCAAAAACGTATTTTTGGACAAATTAAGAAACAAGCAGCTGTAAAATGTTACATTACCATTAATTTTGTCACCATTATTTTTGGATGCAAAACGACTACCTATTTTTGATTTTTAAATGGCAACCTGTTTCGATATTACGTTAACCATATTTGCATTAGATATTATATTTAACTAAAATGCAAACTTGGATATCCTAAACATTATTTTTAACTCGTTAAGTTATATTAACATGGACAAAATTTAGTTGAGTTAAAAGTTATAAAAGAATTAATTAAGTTAATATTAACTTAATAAAAAATAAAATTTCACATTTCTGTTGACAGGCCAATACGCTTTGTCATTGCGGGCCACAATTAACCGAAATAATATATCATAAATCATGCTCATCGAAATCATCAAATATAAATACGTCACGGATTCACAGAAAAATCAATGGATGAAAGTTTTCCCAAAAAATCTGAATGAAAAATGTCAATATACCAGCTGTACATTAATAAGTTTAAGCGGCAAAAATAATGTAAGTAATATGGCTAATAATAAGTCCGGTAATTAGACTCTATATAATCGGAATCATGTCGATTTTTTTCAATTTTATAAATAATTTAACGGTACAATGCTTAATAAAAATCATTATTTTAAAACGCAGGTAAAAAAAAAATAAATAATTTTAAAGCACAATAAGTAAGAGTTTATATACAAAAAAAAAGAATGTTCATTATTATTTTGTTATAAAATTGTACTTACATAATATCTCCAAGACTGCGTGACATCATATACAAATTTATTATTTTATCTTATTTATTTGGTATATTATTATGACGTAAACTTACTGGGTACATTATTATACATTATGCCGTATATAATATTTAAAATTGTCATTCATAATTACAAAATTAAAACAAACGAAAAAATTTAATGGATACATTTTTAGAGGCACATCACGGTATGAGTAACAAGTCACCGTGTTTGATCGTAACAGTGCAATCAATTCCTGACATTATACAACAAAATAATAAATAAAACCCATAAAAGTCTATATCGCATTGGAAGAATCGTGAATGATGTACCTTATACCTGTAACTGTACAGTTATCAGAATCTTTGATATGACTAAATCAAGTAGATTGAAATAACATGCAAGCGAAACAAATAGAGGCTGTCCGATACAGTGATATCGGGAGAAATATGAGGACTGGAGCAGTCAATACAATTTCGTAGTGGATGAGGGCGTTCGGAAGGCCACGGTAAAAGTGGCCGAACTTACTAGTGTGGGGTAAATAGAAAGAAGAAGCAGGAGACCAGTTTTATTGTAATAAAAATAACGTACGTACTTAGTGCTTTCACTGTTCAAAATAAAACATTCATTACCGATATGTTTACATTTTTAAACGGAAATAGTAATGCAGATTAAAATTATTAAATTTGGTTTTATTTTATGAACTAAATACCTAAATGTCATACGTACATTTTTTAGGTTTATCTCCTGTATATTTTAACATGATAAATTTAATTTGTGTTACCTTTTCAATAAAAATATTGAATTGTATATATATTTTTTGTAAGTTATACAATTCTCAATTGTAAAAAAAATGATTTTGAGGAAACATTCAAATAAGATGTGACAAGAACTTGTCACAAGTATAAATTAAACAAATATAATTATATCATTCATCAAAGAGAATATCGAGTATTAAACAAAAATTTATAAATTAAAAAAAACTTTTTAAAAATCAACAGGGTATTTTAAAGATTTTACCACACCTAAAAAAGAATTAAGTATTTATTCACAACTTTAAATGAATACAATTATTTTAACTAAATTATGCACCAAAAAAAAAAATTGAAAAAATAACAGAAATCTTTACTGTGTATATTTTCTCAGTTTTTTATAACTATGAGTAATGAGAAAATTAGAGGGAAAATAAAAATAATGCATTGTATCAACTAGATAACATTTGATACTTATGTACTAGAAAAGCGGTTCCCAACCGGGGGGAAATTTTGAAACTATAAGGGGAATATAGTGTTGAAATAAAGAGGATTTTGTTTTATTATGCCATTTTACAATCAGTAATAAATTAATTTTAGTTGTATAATGTATAGTATACATATAGTTATAACTAAAAGATTAACTAAAAAAAAAAAAAAAAAATAGGTTGTCTAAACTTCAAATAGACTAATCTAATTTAAGGAGGGGAGAGTGAGATTTTCAAAAATTTACAAGGGGTGCATAGAATGAAAAAGGTTAAAGGCCTCTGTGTTAGAAACCATTAAATACTTCTGAATTTGATGATATTAAAGTCAATTTTTGATAAGAAAAAATACATAAAGACAAAAAAACATTATATTCCTTGTTATGCTCAGGATCTAAAAAAAAAAATTTAAATATTATTAGTACTCACCACTATATAACTCCCGATTTTCGCCCACTAAAATACATCATAATAATTAATATACTTTTTAACTTATTAGTTTATATATAAGGAAAAGTAGGTAGGACTTACTTAATTCTCTAACTTCGACCACTTAATATTTAAAAAAAAAAAAATATTTGAACACTTAAGTATTAATGGTATTTAGTAAGAAAATAACGAATTTTAAATTTGATTTTATAATTATTCTATAATTTAAAGATGGAATATTCGGTTAATTTATTTTTATATGGTGTTCAAAACATTAAGACAATTAGGTTAACAATTAATCTTTTTTTGAATATTTTGGAAAAAAATTTACAATAGGTACATTTGATTTAATATTTAAGTACGGGAGGTACTTAATATACCTAAGTAGTCATGATCAACATTTTGGTTATTAAAATTATTAGACTTACGGCCATAATACACGTATTCTAAAAATAATTTATTACAAAACATAATATTAACGACGTAAATTATTTTAATTTATATCATAAATACATTATTATTAGAACAGTTATGTGTTTTAAAAATAATTCAATGGTCCAAGTTAATGACTTGATTTGGATTGGCTAGTAAAGAGATCAAATAAATACCATAGGTTTATATTAGTTTTATTTACCAGTATTGATTTTAATTTATATAGGCAGTCCCAACTCCCAAGAAGATATACCAATTGAGTTTTTATAATTTTAAATAGATTGTTTTTTAAATCGTCGAAAAAAAATATACGAAAAAGGTAATACTTTCCGACACACAAAATGAGTATATTTTCGTGGAACACTCTGTATGCACGCGGATCTGTCATTTTTGGTTACCTAAGTTTTGAGCGGTTTTTTTTTTTAAAATTATAAACGGATGATGGCATTGAAACAATGGCCAATTGAATAAACCTCCATAGTACCTATGTATAGTAAAAACATTTTTAAACCCGTAACTAAAATTGTTTAATTCCATCTCCCGACCAACATATAATTATAATCTATATTGTAAAGTAAATTTCAAAATGTTTAGACAGTAATATTCTAATAAGTTATTATAATGCACTTTTTACTTACCATATAGAGCCTCTACATGCGCAAAGAAACGTTATGTTTAGTCAACTTAATATTATAATAGTATATGAATGCATTTTTATATACTAGAATTGTAGCCATGTGAAAATATATATTGTTATTTTGTTTTTCTTTAACATTCAAAAACTTATAATTTTCTTATATTTTTTTTTTTCAATATCAGTTTGATGAAAAAAAAAAAAAAATTAAAATTGTACGTTTAAATATAAAACCCAAAAGTGGTACCCGATGAAAAAGCTACATTTATATGGTATATTTTAAATACTTTAAATGTAATAATTCTAATTTCAATAATTTGTTAAAATATGAGAAATAATTGAGTTCTTTCAAATTTGTATTAAATGTACTAATTTATGTATATATATATATATAGTATAATAATTTAAAAACTCTATTAAACTTACTATTGTCGTAAACTGCATTAACAAACAATTAATGTTATATTGAGAAACACACAATTCAGTATGTTATTTAAAAAAAAAAAAATATATACACATTTATCAAGAAAATAACATGCTAACATAAGTGATATTGATTGTATAATAATTTAAGTATAAATTACAAAATTTCATAGCCAAACTGTTTTTACTTACTGAACTGCACAACTACGTAGTAGTAGGTACCATATAAAAATTAATTAACATTTCAAACAGTTACATAGTGTTACATATTATTGTGTATTAAAAGATATGATATCTTATAATAAATATTTTCCGTAGATATTTTTATTTTTTTTAATAACAATATAGCGTAATTTTGAGTATTTATCGGATCATATTACCAATACTTATAAACGGATAGTGGGAGTCTTAAATTATACCTAATTGATTTTGAAAAACGTAATTTTATCTAAATTACCGTATTTTCGACCATGACCCGGGGTAGAGCATAACTAAACGCCCCTCTTAGTGGGCGCTCTCGCATCTAATCTCAAGAAAGAGAGCGGGTGGTGCAAAATTCTACCTCTTCCGTACTCTTAATTTTTGGAAAATTTGGATATTATCATTACTATTATATAGATAACAATTTAGAATATTATAGACCAACGAAATAAAAGCGAAAATTAAATGGCAATAATTCGTATTAAAAAAACACCATTCAATTTTTAAAATTCACGTGATTTAAGCAATTTTTAGGGTGAACACTTTTTTATTTGATTAGTTACAAAATGAACTTACGTTTTTCTGGTTCTATAAACATATGAAATAAAAGATGAATTATCTTATCAACCAAAAGGCATAGCTGTTTTAGGTGGTAAATAGGAGATGTGTAGGATAGGATTATAGGATGTATAGGGTAATTTAGCTTATATCTACTGTATAAAACGATTAATCATTTCAAACGAAAATGATTTTGAGCAAGTTCGGTTGATCATTTTTGATAAATTATTTTAACTGAAAGTTGTACAAAATCATTCAAAATTATTCGTGTTTTAAACTTATTGTATAATACATTTACACGTAAAACGTATATACCTATAAATAAAATTATGAGTATTATGACGCTTAAATTTCATTTTTTTTTTTTTAAATCAGATACTATATACAACTTATTATAAAAGACCATATTTTCAAGTATTTTGAAATAAAAAAATGACTAATTTGCTAAACGAAATATTATACCAAAATCCATCCCAAAAATTTAATATTGGATCAAGACTTCTGATCAAAAAATTGTTTATAGGCATAAAATATTTTTGAGTTATTTATAGACATTTTAATTTTACTTTACGGTATTATTTTTACGGTAAGCACCTGTAGATAAAATTGTTAGATCAAACAGAAATTCTAGAACAGGGATTCATTATAAAGTCGTACTTTGTGGTAAAAAAAAAATTGAATTTAATATATTTTTTTTTTATAAGAATTTTAATATCAAATTTCTATTAACCGATTGCTTTTCGTTAGTGATGGTTAAACGTTACTTACTGATGTATATACAATTTTCCTTCTAACTTCCCAACTTCTCACCTAAAACAATGGCCAAACTATCGTGCGAAGTATGTGCGTATCTTTATTTTAAACCAGCAAACCAAAATTTCATACTTCCATACATCAATGATCGCTTTAATATAACATTTTAGTATTGTTCTAAAATATTATATTACCTACCTATTGGATACTTAGATAATGGTATAATTTATCGACAGTTGTATATATGTAAAAGTAATAAAATATAAGATATAGGTATATTTTTTTTTCGTTTTTACAGATTTTCGAAAACATATTTAAATTTTATCAATATTTGTAAATTATATTGTGTCCATATCCAATGTTAACCAAACGTCAAGTGTTTACACAGGAAAGACGTATTAAATATGAGAATTGAAAAAATAACTCACCGTAGGCAAAAACTGAAGTGAATTTAAAAAGGAAAACAAAAAAAATTTAGTATATTAATTTTACAATTCAAAATAACAGGATCAAAATACTAATATTGTATAGGTACTTACGCAACTTATATACTGTATAAAACACAAAACAATATTTTTAATTGAATCAGAACAAATAAAATAAAACCGAAAATATTTAATGACGATATTTTCACGTTTTGCCAACGTTTTTTAGCGGTTTTGACAAATTTTACGAAAACTTAAAAACTAATCAACCCCAACGACCCCAAAGCTAACCTTTCCCAATGCACCAACTAGATAAATTTGTTAACTCGAAACTACCACTTCAGTGGTAGAATAAAAAAAAACCATCATAGTAAAACCAAACAATATTATATTTTACATTCTTAATTGTTAAAAATATTTTGCGATCGATGGAAATACAATAATAATGCATAACAATAGATGTACAGATTGGGGTTTTTTAATTTTTTATATAAAATTGTGAAGATTGTCTAAAATTATAATATCGTGGTAATTAGCAGTCATAAAGTGACTGCTATTTAACTTTATAGTTTTAAATTAATGTTACAAAAGTACAAAATATAGACGGGTTTTAAGAGGTCTTTAAAAGGTCTTAAGCCAAAAAGAGCTAGGGTGCTTTACAGGAGAGATAAAAAACATTTTCGTAACTTTTTGTTTATTTATTTATTCATTTTAGGACGGCTATTATATTTCTGTCTAATATATTTTTTACAATGTGTGTATTAATTTTATTGAATTACAATTAATTTGTAACAACTTTAACTGACTTTTAGAATTTACTTTTTATGACTTATGTCATTTCTCATTTTTAATTAAACCCTTATGCATAGGTAAATCCTATTGTGGCTTAACTTATACAGGTACTTAGTTACAAAATATAAAATTATATGATTTACCACAGCAGTTTAGTACACGAGACATTGTATTTTAGTTTTCACTATGCGTGTTTTTTCCTGTGTGCTTCAATAATCAATGACGATTAGAGCAATTTCTGTTAGAAAATATTGTATAGTTGCATGCACGCTGAGGGAGTAATATTTGTCATTTTCTTTATAATTTTCTTAATGAAATGGGAAAACCACCGGTAAAGTGGGAATATTTAAGCAATAACGGTTTCTTTTGTATTGGTTCATTATAGTTTATTATGCTTGTCAATTTACATACCCTTTTCATCTTCTTTAGAAACATAAAAATAATAATATTATTATTTCAACTTATATACGAACAAATTTATTATAAGATTATTATTATTTTCGGTGAATTTTATCCGAATTCTAAACAGTTTTTTACAGTTTACATATTCCTTAAAAAATAAAATGACACCTTTTTTTTAATCACGACACATTTGTCGCTTCCTTTATTTGGAAATCATTGAACAAGTCTTTTTTTTTTATATTTTTTGAACTCCGAGCTTTAATCAATATTACGGTGATTTCCTTTTTGTTCTTGGCTCACTTCAAGAAAATACAATTTCTTTAATCAAACTTTATTAATAAAAAGATAATTTCTGTAGTTAAGAATTATATTACATTATATTGAATCAAATTATTAAAAGCCACAAAAGCTTTATGATTATTCATGGAAATAGTCTTTAGGATTCAATTTTACACTTATTTGGTATAAAAAATTATATACATTAATAGTTTAAATATATTATTTTTATATTTTAATTAATTTTTATTAAAGACAAATTAAAATAAATTACCTCCGTGGTCTACAGAAATAGAATAAATAACATCATGTTAGTTTTAACTAATAAACAAATCAGTAAATATGTAATTTTAGAAATGTAGAAAATCGAAATTAATCCGAGTGTGGATATAATAGTCTGTTAATTTAATATAGATGATGGTAGGTACCTACTTAGGCGATATTCATTTTTTCAAATATCACAATAATTTGATTGGCTATCTGCTACCTAAACGTATTTTTTTCGGATAACAATTTCAATTGAAGTTGTACATAAGTTCTGGTGTTATATGATGAATATACATATTATACTTTACGAACAGACTATCGGAATTCATAATAGCTATGGGAAAACAATATTCGACTAAGTAGAATGTTTACACAAAGGATATGCATGCGATGTGAGATACGATTCAGACACAAGTCAGATGAGTGTATGCATTCGTCGAACAATTTAATGAAGCATGACTGCATGAGTATAATAAGTTTGAGATTATTTTGCAGTAATTTTATAAATTATCAAAAATTGTACAGTATGTGTACCTAATAGCGTTGGTTTTTTTTCAATTAACTATAATAACTGTATTCAAATAGAAGACTCAAAATAAATTTACCATCCAATGCGTCTTGAAATGAGAAAGTACTTTCTTCTATATTAAAAATGCAAAGTAGAAGGTAAGTACATAATATTGTCTTATAAGTATATAATATATTATCGAAGTTTATCGATTGTGCATCATTAATCCTGCAGGTAAAATGGGCGTCAGTCGTTTCCGCCAATAAACTTGATTTTCATTTCCGCCAAATCTGTTTCTACCTATATTATTGAGATGGAGTTTAAAATTTCCTAGTCTATATACAGTGTTATTGATCATCGATGTATGTCGAGATAATTGATTTTACGCGTAGTAATTCCTACCTATAACTATAAATCGATTTAATCGATAAGACATGGTCAATTCATTCTATTAAGACATGAACCGTCCGACATGTATTGATTGATCTTGTACTCACATTTAAAATTAAATGAAAAGTTTATGTACTTTTTACAAAACGCCGAATGGTGTGCCAGCGAATGACCACAGATGGATATAATATGTCTGTTATTTATTCATACTTATACAAACATGTTTAGATCTGATCAGACACGGATCGTTCCGACAAAACATTCTCGCGTGGAATGCCAGACGAACGCTGTCTAGTGGCGGATTTAAGGGAGGGACCCAAGGGGTCTTCACCCCTTCCCCATTGGCCTAAGTTAAGTTTTATTAACTCAATAGTTTTACGTACATTCTTAACGTGGTAAAAAAATGATTCTAATTAATAGGTCCAAATTTAATTTTTCGTACAAATTGGTCCAAATAAATATTCCCTGGGTAACTCTAAATGGATCTAACACTATAATTTAGATAGGCGATTGGTAGAAATTAAATTTGGCGGAAATGATGATCGACCAGGTAAAATATTTAGTTTGACGTTTGCGCATCGCACGTTATAATATATAATATCGTAAATCTTATATAATCGAAAGAAGTATTGTTAGCAATAATGTTGAAATCGTCGTACACTATTAATTTTCGTCTATTATCGCGCGATCTATTGTCCATTATATACCGTCGCACTATCAACTGACCACAACCTTTTTGACATGGATCCACCTACGGTAAGTACCTATATAGTACTACGGTGACACGACCGGATAATACACCGATAACATAATAATACAATATTATTAAGAGTGTATGCAAATAGNATATAGTACTACGGTGACACGACCGGATAATACACCGATCACATAATAATACAATATTATTAAGAGTGTATGCAAATAGTAATGATAATATAAATAACTGATTTCTTATTTAGTACAGTAAATACGTACGCAGGGCCGTATTTAAGCGCAAGTTTCATAGGCTGCAGCCTAGGGGCCCGCACCGAAACAATATTTTTTTTATTATACATTAAAATATCTGTTTGCTATGCTATACAAATTGATATGTTTTGAGAATTTTTTATGAACTTTAATAATTTTCTTAATTAATATTAAGTAAAGTTTTTTAATTGATATAAGTTGACAATAATGACACCATTGATGTTGTAGTTATTATTACCATATAGCAACAATAATTCGATTTTAAATTTATTTATAGAGTCACCCTTGGATGGAAAGGGGGTGCAAAAAAAAAACAGGCAACTATTCATCAATATATTAAATATATTCGTATACCCGTGGCAAGGCCCGCACCATAGGCTCACCCAGGCTAGCTAGGGGCCAATATATCCTAAATACGGCCTTGTAGGTACGTGATAATTGTGTGATTTGTTTTAAATTGTTGACTAACAAATCTAGTAAAATGGACGACAATATATTTAATAATAAAACTACTTAAATGATATTTTAATTTTAAAAAAAAACCGCATACGGTTTATAACTCGCCAGTAGACGCGATGCGCGAACGACCTTAAAAAAAGGTTATTCGTAACAATAGCGGTGCCCAAACGGCGTACATATTTTTCTAACAATAGCAATGCGCAGTCTACAAAAAGGTAATTTCATAACAATAGCGATGCGAAAACATCCGATGCCCATATATTATAACCGAGACCCGGATTTTTATGCAAAAAATATTGTTAAATATGCATATATTTATGCACACACAATTTTAAAAGTATGCAAACAATATGCATAGCAAATATATAATATGCATATAATTATGTCTACAAAATAAAAATGTACAAACTGTAAGGTATCGTTAATTTTTTTTATCTTATATCGAACTTATATTATTGCATAAATTATTAAAAATATTATAAATGTGCATATAGCATAAACATGTATATTAATTTTTGAATGAGTACCAACATGAGGTAACAAATTGTGTTTTTAAATTATCAAATTGAAAATTCCTACGATTGTCACGTACTTCGTACTTTGTACTTCGAAAAGCTCCTTTCCATATCCGTTGACACAATTGATGCATGTTTGAAACAAGAAATGTTTTCAGGTGACAGTTGGCAAGGTTTTTATTATCATTTGTTTCTCCGCTTATAATTTCAGACATTTTTTTTTATTTGTGATAATCCGGGATTTGTTAATCATACTTCCAATAGTTTAAGTTTGGCCAAACCAATGTCTCTTCCATCTTCACTCAAATTTTTTTCCAAGATTAACGTCCGATTTTTCTAGACACGGGATGGTGTCTGTTATGCATTGGGAATTCGATAGAATTACTGAAAGTTCATTTGTGATGATAACTCGGTTAAATAATATTGTTGTGCATTTTGAACAGACTTTGTAACATTTTTTTGTTAAATGTGCCGACAACTTCTTCAACTTTGTTAAAGTTCTTACCATAATAGAAATAATAGAAGGCAGCATTAAGCACGTTCGAGTAATAATAGGGTTTGGTAGTAAACTTAAGTTTGGACATTTTTTTTGAAAGTACCTACCCAAGTAAGTGTTTTTAAAATAACTTTTTTGTATTACATATCGACAAATTAACATTTGAGAATTTATCTTTAATAGCTTCAGATAAACTGTGACACCCATGGGCCATAAAATTAATATGAATTAGTTTATGATAAAATACCTCAAGTGCATATCCAGATTTTATCATATAAGGAGCGGCGTCTGTGACATGCAATAACACTTTTGTATGCAATACTTTTTCAGGCCACAATATTATACTCATTGAGTCATTGAATAATTTCGAAATTGTTTGAAAATTTACTTTTTTTAAGTTTTTAATAATTAAAACTATCAGTTTTGTTGAATTTTTTGAATATAGATTTCAAGGGCGAATTCGGTATCAATTTGATCAGAACCCTTGCAATTAAGAGTCTGCTGTGTGATTTAAACTTTGGTTGCGCTATTGGATTAAAGTCTACATTTTTGTCGTATTACATTTCTTTATGTATGTTTACGTTGTCTTGACATCGAACATTGATAATTATGTTACACATGGCACACATATAAAAACATAAATAGTTTTTTTTTTTTTGTAATGGAGACGGCACTTGTCCTTTGTACGCCTCTCCACTGTACCCGCCCATGGTGAACACATATGTTAGTAAACTGGCATGATATATCACGCCAATAACCACGTAAAGCCATTTGATTATTATGACACATTCATAGATAAAACGTATAGAATTTATTGTAATATTTTAATTATTTCCATATGAAAGATAATAAAATTGTATTTATATGTACTTTTTTTTTATAAACTTTATTTCGCTAATAAACAAATGATTTCGGAAAAGTATACATAATTGGTTCATACAGATTAATTTTATATAGGTAACTAAGAAAAATGCTAAACTCTTAGTAAACCTTAACAATGTTTAAACATACTTAGTAGGTGCACGATTTAAACGTTATTTATATAAATGATAAATAATTAAAAAAAAAATTACCATCAGTGTAGGAGTAATCTATAATATAAAAACGGTAAAAAACAATGTATTGTAATAATAAACTAATATACTTATTAAATTATAGCAACTAAAAGTTGACGTATCGATTATGTGTATTATAGGTTTTCTTTGAATAATTGAATAAAATATAAATCATCTATATAAATGAAAGAAAAGATTAACTATAAATATTCACATACTTACCACTTATCGAAGAGGTCTGTGAATATAATCGTTTAAATTTACCTTAACAAAAAAAAAATACAAATTTCGTTAACATTCTTATAGTTATATGTATTTTGTCACATCTATGTGATACACAGCATAAATAATATAATGGTTCATATAAGTTAATTTCCGTATGAAGGTGTACAGATGGTAAATAGGTGTGGGTTTAAAGGGTCTACACTGATAAATATTTTACGTCTGATATATTTTCTATTTGTACATCTAAATGTAAGAATATTGACTTTTTTAATATCTTGTGTGTAGATATTTTTTAAATATATATAACTCATCCGATAATAAACGAAATAAACACATGTTTTTCTGTATTTAAAATGTTTTATTCCAATACAATTTTAGTATCACATTTTACAGGGAAAAAACCATAATTTTAATAATATTATGCAAACTGATTTATTCTTGACATCATGCGTTATTTTATAAACGGCCGTAACTTTACTAACGAACCGAGTGAAGATACAGCAAAACAAGTTTCCATCAAAGTTCATTATTTGTTTACGATTTTTTCCTTGAATGGTCCCTTAAAATTGTTCTTAATTATAGATAAAGTGTAATATAAGTAAATATTAGTATTATATTAAACTGTATATTATATGTAAAGTTATAATTATTATTACCTACGACGTATGAATACGAAAATCATGTTTTCGCATGTTGCATGTTGGTTTTAATTCGAATAAAACTCAATTCTTTTTCAATGACAATAACGTGATTAATTTTGTTTTTTTTTTATCTTTAGGAATTTTCTTCATGATTTTTTTATATTTTCAAAACTAAACTTTAAAAATTAATGTGTATACGAAGGCAAAGCTCGTTTTACAATTATTTGAATTCAAAACAACTATATTTACTTAGCGATTGAATGTGACGGAATAGATCAATAAACAACAAATAGTCAAGTAGGAAACGAGTGTTCTCGTGGAAGAGCTATGTGGGATGGACCCTCCCCAATAGCCTTTTTTTTATGTTATTTAGAGTTTCCTATTTAACTAAAATTTTATGATAATAATCAAATAAATAAATATAATCAATACATAATTTTTTGACTTGTTATCATTTTCCACAATATTCGTATACAAATTAAAAACCACGCAAGGTTACAGACTGTGTTTGGATTTTATTTGTCTGTGGTTATAGATAAATTTCTTTATCGACATTCTGGTTTTATAAAGCAGCTGAATTAATATATAATTGATATAAACAACATAATATTGATTTCATGATACTACCACCGAACAATGAACTGATTAACATATTTACCCGGGTTTTAGTTGTTGTTATAAATCATTTTTAGTGAAAAATGTAGTAAGCCATTTTTAGAAAAGTCTTAATGGATTAAAATTCTTGGCCGTTCGTACAAAAGTTCAAATTTATCCCGAAGAAGTCCTTGATGTACTGGCTTAAAAATCAAGAATAATTGATATTTTGTAAATTTAATATTTTACAAAAATATAATACGTTATAATTTAATGTATGTTGTTTTTATATAAGAGAGAGGATATGGAGACCTACTTCTCACTTTTAATCAGTTTTCATATATCCTCCCCCTCCAGTAAAAATACTTAAGAACGTCTCTGAAGTAGGAATAAACACGTATGTTGTATTATTTTAAATAAAATTGTACTGAAATATAGACACAAGTTAAGAGTAGTAGGATTTGAATAGTCTCCTTTTATATCTATACACACCTACGATCATCTTAAAGTCTTAGGTGACATTAATTTATATATTTTTTTTTTTTACTGGAAAATCTGTTGTTCTTGTGTTTTTTTTATACAGATAAAAATAAATCATTTAATTTATGTAGTTAAAAAACACAACATATTAAAATATTTACCACTTGTTAATGAAGTTGGAGAAGTCGGATACCGTGAGTTTATTTGAGAAAAGTTAACTTAAAAAAAAAAAAATAATAATAAAAATTAGTTAGGTATTAGGAATATTATTTTTTATTAGAATGTATTATAATTTAAATTTTAATAACCAGAATAAAACCAACTCATAGAGGGTGTTATAATATTTAAATTAAACAACATTTTCACCAAATATATTACGTATTCTCTATTCATTTTTTATAGTCAGCTAATAAACAGATGAAGCAAGTAAGTATTATTATTTCCTATGGAAGTATTGAACATACAAACATGAATACTAAAATCATAAAATTGCTTTTTATCCGATCCAAAGATTATAATCTTTTTTGGGAGCACTTTTAAATATAAAGGATATACAAGTATCGTGTATTATTTTTAATAAAAACGTAGCCATAGGGTTTGTACAGCTTCCATTTGTATTTATACGGATACACTATCTTTTTACCGTCTTAGATGACATGTATTTTTGTAAATTTAATTTGCCGGGAAAACCTAACCGGAAAAACTGTTCCCTAAAATTCTTTGAAGATACTGAAAAATAAATCATTTAAATCAGGTAATTAAAAAACGATAAAACACGATTACGTATGTTCGTTATTGGACATCGGTGATACTCTTTTAAGCTACACAATTGCGTACGAAATTTTAACCGTCGTTACCAATTTACATACTGGTACGGTGGTATATACCACACCATTGAACTATAAATAATGCATAAATACTTTTCGTTTTTTCTTAAAGTTTATTGTTAACGATATTAACGCAACATCAAATACATCTTACTATGGTGGAAATTTCGTTATTTCAAATATAGAGGTACTTTTTGCTCTTCAGTTCGTCGTTAATCGTCATATGTGTGTATATACGACGTTGAATAATATCGAAAATTCTATTAAAATTATAAAATTCGGAAAAGGAAAATAGTTATTGTTTTTAAACTTTAGTAGACAAGACCGATTATACAATTATTTAATAACGGGAACATAAGGAAAACGGCAACTAGTATTTTATTCGAATTCAAAATATTTTAAAGTCTTATGATGAGTATAAAATCCGTACAAATAAATTGCAATATTTGGAAGTATAAGGACGTAGAATATAGAAGTTCAGAAATTAAAATTTAGGTATTTTAAAATAATTAACTTTCACCTATTAATTTATTATGAAGTAATTATTTTATTGGTAATAAAATTCTGCAGTTCAAATAAAATTATTTTACTGGATAATTATTGAATATCCATATAGTAAATTATACATTTGAAAATGTTTCACATGAATTCGTACGCAATCGTGTTGCTTTTAATTTTTTTAAAGTATTTTTTAATCTATCGAAAAACATACGCAATTGTCTTGTCAAAAAGGACAAACGTACGTAATGTTATACTTATTAAAGAACACAACATATTAAAATATTTACCATTTGTTGAAGAAGTCGGAGTAGTCAAAGTCCGTGAGTGTTTTCGAGAAAGATTAGCTTAAAAAAAAAAAATATGTATATTATTTTTTATTTGTGTGTTTTATAATTCAAACAATCAGAAAAAAACCGACTTATAAAGGATATTATAAACCCTCAAGGCAGGTATTTTGTTACACATAATTTAAATTGATTAATATATTCATTAAATATATACGTATTACCTAATAATTGTGCAGTTAACCAATAAACGTTATTATAAGTTAAATAAGTACAGCAATGGAGGTTTCCTGTGTCCAAATGGGTATACAGTAGTCAAATATTTTTTACATGTTAGATCTTATTGTACCTATTTATATTTCAGATACAGTATCAATAGTCTAGGTAAATCCAATATAAGTATTATTACCAAGTTTAAAGTTTCTACGTGTATTTATAACTGAAATATTGTAAACAATTTAAATACTTTAAAAGTTCAAAAGTGGCTCAAAACTATAAGAAAACAAATCAAAAAGAAAACAAAAAAGGCGTCTTGTGATTTTTCGATTAAATTTTTTTTTTTGGTAGAAAATATCGTCCGTGTTTTTACAAAATACTGAAATCTTGAAATTTTACGTTTTTCTTCGTTTTTTCCCACTTAAGTGATTTTATTTGAAAAATGACGTTGAAAATGTAGTTGTAGAGGGCTCTTACAGCTTCCTTTTATATCCATACGGACATTTGGTACTTGTAGCATCTTAGATGACATTTATTTGTAAATTTAGTTTTTATACCGGAAAACTGTAGTCCAAATGTTCTTTGTATACAAATAAATTATTTAAGTTAGGTAATTAAAGATTATTAAATGTTAATATATTCACTACCTGTTTGAGACTTCAAAAACCGCCGTGAGTTTGTTCGAGAAAAGTTAGCTTTAAAAAAAAATTAGGTATATATTATTTTTCATTAGTATGTATTATAATTTCAATAATCAGAATACATTCAACTCATAGAGGGTATTTTGTTACATACTATTTAAATTAAACAACATTTTCACTAAATGTATTACGTATTAATTTGTATAGTCAACCAATAAACATATGAAGCGATAAACTAGTTATTATTTATTATTATTTCCTAAGGAACTTTCGAACACACACACACACGAATACTAAAGTCATAAAAACTTTATCTAACCATTATGAAATCGTTTAAGCATTAATTTAAAAATATTTTTTTAGTTTTTATCCCTACTCTTTATACTTTAAATAATTACATACTCTGGATTTTTAAAGTGAAACCCTCCCTTTTGAATACAAATTTGAATAGAAAATATTTTTCTAGATATTTTTAAATGCATAACACTAATATCAGATCTACCGTTTATGAGTTATAAAAGTTTGAAGTTTAGACCGGAGGAGTAGGGAAGTGTTATAGATATGCAATTTATTACCCTATTATCATTAATAATTTTAAATCTGTGTTTAAATGGGGAAATTCCTGTTTGAAAATCAAAAGTATGTACTTTGCTAAGGTTTATAATGTAGAGGTAAAAAATTAAAAATGTTTTTAAATTAATGCTTAAAAGATTCCATAATAGTTAGAAAAAACAGAAATCAAATTAACATAAAAAACTCCGAGCCAATTGCAGATTTACGATAAAAAAATTACCCTGTTAATTTATTATACAAATTACAGGGCATTTTAAATTTTGGGAATACAGGGATCGTTCCCCCCTACGTTCACCTCTGTTTATGTGTAATAACCAAAGTAATAAAGTCCAATATTTTAAAAATAAACTTAAACCAACAGCTACATTTTAAACACAAATTATTTTATTTCTCAATACAAGACAAATTTGTTTCATTCAAATTTATTGTTAGTATGTTAGTTTACGTAACATCTTTGTAAAATAATAATAGTAATAAACTAAAATGTATTTTAGTATACATTATTTAAAAATATATAGTTGACATATGAATATTATGAAAAAATTTACCACCAGGGATGTCGTTCATTTTCTTATTTAAAGATCCTGTAAAAAATAATTTATAATAATTTAATTTATGGTGAGTTTCATAATATTCATTAATACATTTTCAGAGATTTTACGTCACTTTCTTCTTCGATTATTATTATATTTATTTGTCTAAAATTAAATAAAAAACAAAAATTTACCAAGTTTTTTGAATGAAGATATCGAATCCGTTGGGAAATTTGACAGATTATCTTTAAAATAAAACCATTATTTATATTATTATAGATAGGTAACTATTTAAACTATTAAAGGTTGAAAGTTAGGAACTTAGGATTTATAATATTGTTTAGATTATAATTTCCGTTAAATCAGATTAACTTTAACTTTAACAGATCACATTAACTTTACTACTGGTATCACAGTTATAATTTGTTATAACTAAACCAATTATATTGCCCCTTTTGCCTTGTCCCCCCACAAAACTAGGCTACCCCACCAGGCTATTCCATCATATTTAAATTATGTAAGGAGCCTCAAACCGATTACAGGTGATAATAAATTACACTAAAGTGTAATAACAACTGAAAGAGTGCTTATAAGAGTTGACATCTGATAAGAGATAATGGGGTAAATATTATGATAGTCTTAAAGTTACTATACATTATAATATTTGTAAAAATTACCGTTACAGAAATACAGGTTACTATTATTTCTTGACACTGTAATAACGAAAAATATGTGTTGAATGTTTAAATTGGTCCGTTGAACAAATAAAATGTATCAAATATTAAATCAACAGTGAATAGACTTTATAATGCTATAGAGGAGGTTATATTACATTATCATTATTAATCGAATCCAGAGAACATTTTAAATAGTTAAATAATAATTTTATCATAATTTAATAATAATTTTAATTAGCACCTTGATTTAAAAAAAATATACAAAAAATATCCACTTTTATAATTTTTTATTATAACTTATTTTCTTAGACCGATAAAATACATAAAAACAAAAGGGGGAGGGTCAGACTGTTCGTAAGGAGGTTTTCTCTGTCCGAACGGGTATACAGAAGTGAAATACCATTTACATGTTGTGACTTGTATGTCAGATACAGTATTGAGAATTTAACTCAATGTATCTGGTATCTTTTTGATAACCTTTGATGTATTTTATATTTGTATCGATAGGTAAACCTGAATTGAGTCTAGTATCTTGTGTGTAGATATGTTTTAAATAGATATACATTATATTACTCATACCAATTTGTATACGATAATGTCCTGTGCCAGAAAGGTCGAACAGTAGAACATTCGTTACATAATATATAGTATAAATCATTTACCTATATACGTTAACGAAATAACAAAAGTCAATAACATATTTACTATTTTTTTGGATCGTAGTTTGTTGTTTCCGCGAGTAACACCGACCGAACGAATCTTAAAAATACAAATATAATATTGTGGTTATTACGCCATAGACCAGTTAACGTTTAAAATTTAACTAAATAATTTGAGCGAAACAACGCGATGCGATCCTTCAATAATTGTACAATATTAAAATCGCGTAAAAGACTATCCATCGAAAAAACGAACACGCGATAAATCTATATTATAGTACTCGGTGTTTTATTGAACATTTATTTTTTTTTTTTTAAATGTTTATCGGCTCGTTCGTTGGAAAAGGCCGTTTGAAAAATGACGCGTGCGTTCACGCGGATTTCAACGTTTCACCGTAACTATTCTAATACACGCATTTACACGTGGCGCGTTTATTCAGTTTAATTGTATTTATTCTAATCACTTTTACGATTCCGAAAATAAAAAAAAAATTCTTTATTATTAATGCTTAATATGTTTTCTTAATATTTGATACCAAACCGTATTGAAATTACAAATGTACATATTACAGTTACAAAAACAATTAATCCACTTCGTAATTAATTTATTTATTTGCAGTGCAAAAAAAATGTATTTATATACACATAATAAAGATTTTTTTAAACTTAAAAGTAAGTACTGACGCGTATGGTACAAAGAAGTAGAGCAATGGAGGTTTTGTGTGCAAAAATAGATATAAAACGGTAAATTATTCTTTACATGTTAGATCTTATTGTACCTACATACATTTCAGATACAGTATCAATAGTATTATTTACTTATTAATTACCTATGATATATTTTTGAACACGTTAGATGTATTTTCTATTTGTATCTATCAAGTATGAATATGTATCAGTCTTATATCTTGTATGTAGATATTTTTCGGTGGACAACTTTTCTACCAGAAATATTTTTCGAATTCCCAATTATTGCACTTTTTCTAAAAGAAAAACTAATATGGGAGGTATTTAAATACCTTCCGAATTAGGTAATTTTTTGATTTTCCCAGGAGTTTTCCCGATAAATTGGAAAAAACGGAGAAATCGGTATTTCAAACAAATATGATTAATGAGAATATATAAAGCCTATTTGCCTATTTTACTATAAAACGACATATATATTGTCGACAAAGCATCACTATCAATCAAACTCCTCTTAGAATCGTTTTTTCGTAAGCAATGGTTTATCGTTACTTACTTCCATATGTAATTTTTATCTATAACAGTGGTTGCACCTGTCCCCATTATCATAGGACGTCTTTTTTTAATAATCATAGTTATATAAATATAAATCTTATTTATCAAAACCTGTAAAAGCTGGTAGTGGTGGTGGTCTAAATGTTACCATTTCTCCATCGTCATTGATAATTGAGAATGCTTGAATAAGAACAAAAGTATTATTATAGGTTAAAAAATAAAATATAGTTAATATAATATTTATTATTAAATTAACTAACAATCTCAAATATTACAATAAAATAAAATGAAACGTAGGTATAGTATTATATTATTAGAGTTATTTATAAATGTCAAATTATTATTAATTTAAAATGTGTATTGTTATTCTATACGCATATAAATTAATCGTGTGGTTGATATCTCGTGGTATAGGTACACTTATATAATAATTACGCTATATAATAAAATCAAATAAAAAACATCTTTACGTTTCGGAGGTTCCGGCACATTTGGATCTATAAAAATAACGTGAAGGATGTAGATTAGATAGGTACCCACGTTATCATATTATTGGTAGAATGTTAAATCTACAATCAATTATTATTAAACACAGTGGCATAGCGATAGGATTTTTGGTGTTATATCCCCCCTTTTTTTCTTTTGTTGAGGCGCGTTTACAAAAAAATATCTCCGGGGAGGGGCGAATTTAAGGTAATACATTTCCATACTCTTATAATAAAGAAGTTTATATACATTCAATTGTAGGGTTATATATTTTTCATTAAAAATGCCAATATTTTATAACATTCATTTCTATCCTTTTGACTAGGTATCTCGTACTGAATTTCACATTTAATATTTTTTTTAGTGAATACAGCCTAAATGATTATCTAATTAATATTATTGTGATGATAACGCGCACTATGTAATATCACCGTATCAGTTATAATTTTCTAAAAGCAAGAAAAGCACAAAAAATTAGAAATGACAAAAATAACAATACCTATATACTACTATCTATTAATAAAATAAAAATATTACCAAAATTGTATTTAAATTCCTTGTTAATAGAAATCATTTTTGAAGCTTTATTAAAAATCATCATAATTTTCTATCTATAATCACTTTCATCATAATTTGCATGCAATTTTGGGGAGATGGTTGAATCCCTACCCCTTCCCCCCTTGTATACGTGGCTGTAATCCCTTTATTTTTTTAACTTAAGGTAAGGTTAAGAAGGTTTTAGAACCTTTAACTCATAAACCCCCTAACTCTCATCCCATTGAATGTCCTCTCTACGCTACCAATTAAGCGTACCTACCTAGCTATGTATTTTCAAAATGCAACATTTATAAAAAGAATAAACTAAAAATATACCATTACCTCGATTATAGTAATTCGTAGGCTGATCAATAATTTCAACATCTTAAAAAAAAAAAAAGTATTAGTAATCCTTATTATTTATATATTATATATTAATATATTTTTTATAAGTTTAAGAATTTTATCATACAATTTTAGTTTTTTTTTCCAATTAACGAATTTAAAGAAATACAAACATAATATTACTTAGTAAGTTACCTTCCTTAAACATCCAACTTGCTAACTTGTCTGCACCTGTTATTTTATTTGAATGGCTTGTTTCTGTTTGTGATTCTTAAAAAAAAAAAAACAAATTACCAATTATTATTGAATTTGAGTATTTAACAGTAAATAAAAAAAAGAATATAGATTTGCACCGCACATTTAAAGTCTACATTTTTATTACTTTAATTACTTTAATTATTATTTGATAGTCTACTTGTCATCTAGTTCGACATTTTTTTCTTGTATGCAAAACGATAAATGGATAAAAAGTTGGTACATATTTTGTTGGAAAGGATTTTTTGTCTGAACAGTAATATTGACATTGGAAAATACCAAATTTACTGCACATTATTTTAATTACAACACATTTATATATTTATCAGACTATTCCAGTAATATTTTGATTGAATAATTACGACCTATACTGTCAATCTTCATTGACAATTTAGTTACTACCTACAGAATAGTAACAATAATTCGATGCACCATGTAATATTATTTCTTTTTATTTACGAGAAAAATGATATATTTATATTCAACAAATATTATATGCTCTATGCCAAATATAAAATTATTATTGCAATCGTATTATTCTATCATACAATAATGTATTTGTAAACAAATGTATTATGTCTTATACAAGTAAAAATTTAAATATTACCGTTAACTACATTATTCGATGACTGTTGGCCGTGTTCTGTTTGGAAAACAATTTAGTATATTGAATGGTTACACGATTATTTTAGGTATTATAGATACTTAATAGTACCGGTTAAAAGAGTACGGAAAATAAATATGAAATACCCGATGCAATATAATATTATACTAGATTATAATATTACGGTAATCAATTCTCGATAAGACACTTTTCGGGAAGTATTGTCTACAAGTATCCATATTAAGTAAAAGATGTTTTAGTAGTATTATATTTGGTGTTGACATTTTTTTATTTCCGTCAATCTGGCCGTTGACGAGATATTCTACGTTTAAGATTGGGTGAAGGAAGAGTACAGTGCAGCACCACGTGGTAAAGCACGTGGCGTTTGAATAGTGCCCTACTACTTTCCACCTGCAAAAATTTAAAATAAAAAAAAAACTGGGCCATCGGGTTGCCGAAATGAAAAATGACTACACCAAAACTGATTTAATACTAAAATATAATCTATTAATGGAATTTTTAATTTAGAATGCTATTTGAAAATTAAAAGTGAGTAGTAAATATATCATTAATACTTTTTAAGATAATGAGTAGGTATCTTATCAACGATTGATCACTCCGTATAGTAATACAAATTTATTATTGGAATATAACCAACACCGGTTATAAAATGTGTGATTTCCATTGATAAATCATTTTCAGTTTTAAAATTCGATAATCGTGCCCCGTTAAAAACTCTAACGTTTTTCCTTTCCTTTTATTTTTATTTAACCGCGCATAACGATTCATATTCGATAATATTGCATTTAATATGACGTGTGCTTTTTTTCTTATTATTTTTTTTTATGTTTTTCTGTCCGTTAACGCATATAAAGCGATAAATTATAATATTGATATTTCTTCTTCAACTTCAGTTTTCCCAACGGCATGAATATTTAAATTTTAAAACTGTGTTGTAGTTCATAATTGATTTTTGGTCTCTTGAGGCTTGAAGTTTTTCTTGGCAAAATTTAACATAATATACCTGTATATATTATTGGTTAACATTTTTATTTTTATAAAATCGAAGTTTTATTTTCGACTAATGGATTTTATCATATATTAAAATATTATATATTACTTAATAATTCAGCATCAGCCATCCACTTTTGTATTCTCTCTAAAGATTCTTTTTCATCAATTGGTTTTCGTTGTGGTTGTTTTTGACTAGAAGCTATTTGAAAAACATTTTAGTATATTGGATATTTCATGGTTATTGCAAGTATCATAGGTATATAATAAAATCAATTCAAAAAGTATGGAAAATAAATATCAAATATATTAAGCATAATAACAACAGGATTTCTCTAAAAAAAAAATGTAAAACTTTAAATATCCCTAATTTCTTATATTATTTTGTTTTCATCTATACTTGAAAATGGTAAATTTTGTCAAAAGGTTGCCATAAATTAAAAATAGCTAAACCAAAACTTATTTAATACTAAAACATCATCTTTTATGGAATTTTCACTATAGGTTGTTGTTTGAGAATCAAAAGTAAATCGTTTGTTAGCAATGGTTTACCTTTACACACAGATATAAATTAAATTCCCATTTATATTCTACGTTCCTCACTTCTCACATACAACAGTGGCCCACCTATCGTGAGAAGTATGTTCACCTTTTCTTTTTATATAGTGTTTGCTGTCCATTAAATTACAGGTTTAATTATACATTAAAATCACAATATTGTTCACAATTTATAAGTAGTCCCTTGAAATGTTTTCTTTTGTGTAGTTTAACATAATATTACCTAGTTTAATTTTTTTTTTAAATTCATGACTTTAAATATATTCGATTATTATATTATATATACATACGTGCAAAGTTTGTACCAGTCATCCAATTTTTTATTCTCTCCAAAGCTTTTTCTTCTTTGATTTTTTCTGGATCTGTTTTTGTTTTATTAAAAATAGCAATGGTTACAATTGAATTCTAATGTTTTATATTATATACGAATGAACATAACAATTATAAAAATAAAAATACATTAAGATTTACTCCAAACATTCAGAATATACATTTTTAAATACTTGTGTTAAAATATTATTTGATCTTCTGATTATTGCTGTATACTTATTGTTTTTTATTAGCCGTACTTAAAGTGGTAAAAAAACAAAAAAAAAATAAATGTAATATATTCCTTTTTCTTACATTAGTTTTAATATAAAATATTGATGAAAATCGGAAATATTACAGTAGTAGTATGGAAATGGGGATTCAGCACCCTCATCCTCATCCCCCTCCTTCTCCTCTTCATCGACCTATATTTCCCTCCACCACTTTTTTCAAATTCATTTTTTTTTTCAATTATTTTCTATGTGCACCACGTACTCGGTCTATATTGACCACATCCCCTTAATTTTCCCACCTTATCAGTTACTTACTCGACTTACTATTATCGTTATTATATACCTATCACTCTTATCACATGCCATACCTGCTGTTGCCGTTGTCGTGCACCTATTGTTATCGTTATACGTGTGTTTGGTAAATTTGATTTATGTACAAATCTATACCAACATACATCACACACATCACATGTATACACACAAACATAGGATTATTTTTCCGTTAAATTATGTAAACACTCTAAATCAAAAATTTGTCAGACACTATTTTATTTTTTTATAGACATCTTACATACCATTCGGGTCATCATAGAATAGTATACCGCACGTGTCTAGACAACGGGTCCTATGTTCGTATCCCTTACGTGACCGAAATCGAGAATAATTTACCTACGCGGCTAATAAAATACAGTCTTTCTTCGAATATCGATCGTGTAATTCTACAACTATCACGGGCGCGCATGTGTAGGACAAATATATTTAGGTTATAAATACGATAAGAGATGGATTACGATAGGTAAAAGCCTAATATACATCCGCAATATAACGATTATTATTTTTCACCGTACTACATACAAAACGACAGTGAATTTCAATCTAAATTTTAACTGCTATAATAAAAAATGTATTTGTATGTTATCTATCTGTGCGTTCTCCACAGCTAAATCTAACACACGAAGGGGATTGACAATTTCTACGTGTGATTGTAAGATGGCATATGTTCCTAGGGGCCAAATAATCTCCAATAATAATAATAATAATTTTTTAGTAAATTAAAAAAATAGAATTGCTCGTTTACTTACTATGAGATCTGTACATATATTCGTATTCTATAAAAGGAACATTATAAATGTTTTTTTTTCAAATTTTGGATATATTCCGTTTGAGTAAAAAAAAAAAAAAACCCTGTTTAAGAATAAAAATGTTTACCTTTTAGCGATACTGTATATGTTTAAAAAATATAAAATACATATGATTACAAATTTTATTTATATACAGGCAGGACATTTTTTTTAAAACTATTGGTTTTAATAATAATTACTTAAATTATCATCAAAAGGCGTAGCCAGGATTTCTCAATGTAGGGGGGACGCCTGAACATTGTTGTACTCCTCATGCAGGATATTATATTAATGGACAAGCCACTGTTCTAAGTGGTAAATTGGTAGGATAAGATATATATCAGGGGTGGCCAATCTGCGGATCGAGAGCCACATGTGGCTATAGTCATAGTCGTACGCGGCTCGCGTCTTATTTACCAAAACCGAAATTTACTTATTATTATTATGAATTTTAATCTTTTTTCGTATACATTTATAAAAAAAAAAAAAATGTCTCATTATATAGATATAAAGCTATAAAATACAGATTAATAAACAAATATATATGAATAATAAATAAAAAAAAATGAACGTAAAACTCAATTTGTATACATGGCATTTTTTTCGTGTCTACTTTTTTTAGTTAGCTTTTTAATACCTGATTGCATTGATGTAAAAACAATTTTCAGTAATTCTGTGAGATGATCAGCAGTGAAAATTAAACGATATTTCGACTTAATTATTTTCATTGTTGAATAAAGCGATTCAAACGAATATGTCGGTTCAAAAATGTATATAAATTTTACCGCACAGTTTTTAATATTTGCGGGTATTAGAAATCTTAGAAAACTCGTGATCTAATCAAAACAAAATAATATGTTTGTAGCCTTTTTACTATTTTTATTACTTTTGTGTTATAAAAGTATAGAGCAGATCAAATTATATAAAATTATAAAATGTATTTACAAATACATTTGTTCTTAATCTCATTGCATTTATACATGTGGCTCGCGAACATATTCATGTTGGCCACTCCTGATATGTATGATAACTTAATGTAAATGATTTGAGATAATAGATATAACTTCTCAAATGTATGTCATCACATCGCATCTATGATTATATCTAACCGAATGCAAATTTTTTATAATGAAAAACCAAATTTAAAATTAACAAAATTCGCCATTGTGAAATATTCCCGTTTTTCTACCTTTCCCACTATGAAGGAAAAAAAAATAATCTGCTAACTGCGCCAACTTGATACAATTTTCTACAAAAATGTTTTTTTGTAGCTTTTCGTTGGACACAAGATTTCTGGTAAAAAAGTTATTCACTTTCAGAAAAACAAAATATACAAAATCAAAAAAATCATAGTAGGTAAAACCAATATATTCTTCACTACACTCAGAATCTAAAAGTATACACCACATGTATGCTGCAATTAATATTTAAGTAACATACGCATGAAATGATTATGAGCAAAATATTCAAAAATACTGTCAAATAGTTCTCGTGCGCTCACTGGCTACGCCACTTATAATATCATAAAAGTATGTGCTTAGTTTTATTGTTATAAACGAATGAACCATAGTTTTTGTATTCAAGTTAACTCACTAAATTCCAAAACTAAATTTGAAAAAAAAAAAAAATGTTATTTCATGATTGACTGATATTTAAAATTTACATACCAGGTATTAATAACAAGTTAACAAAAGTCAAAATTCAAAGTCGAGATCATAGTCATGTAGACGCGTTTTATTTTAGGTCCATGAAGTTGGCGGACAGACATTGAGCACTACTAATTTTATTTTTAGTTCTTTCTAATATTTAGTGTTGAACTAGTGTTGGTGAACGGTATATTGTATGCAAAATTTATGCTCTGTCCAGAGTTATGCAGGGGCTTATATTTCATCCACTAACTTCACTTAGCGGGTACCAGCACCGAAATCCACGGTAGTACCTGGCTAACAAAATTTAGTGCAGAATTAGTGACGGCGAAAGGTACCGTTTTCAAAATGAATGCATTATTTTCCAAAGAAATATTGGCTTTTCCATAACTCTTCACAGCGAACGCGTTACCAACATCAAAACTCCTTTTGATACCAAAATTTAACGCTGAATTAGTGTTGGCCAACGGTACCGTTTTTTTATTTTTGTGTTCATGATACAACGATATACCCGATGTTGATTGTAATTCAAAACCGGCCGTAGTAAATGCACTCAAGACTAGAAGTCATTTCTATAATAGGCCAAGTTTTTTTTTCTATATTTTATTTTTTTTTTTTTTATAAATATAATTCAAAATGTATTGAATTTAATATTCATTGGGTATTTTATGAATATTGACATACAAAACAATGTTTTTTTTTTTTTTTTTTTGTACATATATACACATTATGTGTATCTATAGGATGTCCTACATTGTTATATGAACGTTATATAACTATAACGTTATATTATTATTATTATTGTTTTTTTTTTTAACAAGTTTTTGTTTTTCAAATTGTTCAAAATAGACTTTTTGTAAAAAATATCATTCTACAAATTTGAATGTACCCCATACATTCATATCTGATCAATAGTTTCTGAGTAATAACAGTTTTAATTTCTCGCCAATTGGCGCGAAAACAATTAATTTTCAATAAAAGAATAAGGAATTACTGTGCTGACTGGGATTCATTATCACGTAACGCGTTATTCTGTTTAATATTAATTGTTTTTACGTAAATTTTCTAGAAATTAAAACGGCTATTACTTCTGTAATAGTGTCTGTGGATAGCAAATATGAGCGTTATTGCGATGTGAAAACGTAAACCGGAATCGCATTGCCATTAATTCCGAGTTCTGAGTGAAGTACCAACATCCTAGGGTGTAAACATAACTTAAAAGTAAAAGCACAATTAAATTTCTATAGCTATACAATGTTGCCACAGAGTATCAAACTGCGCGCGATTTATGTAATAAATACAGTGGTGTTACAGAATTAATTGAACTCGGAAATATTCGCTGCTCTTGGCATTCATAACGTTTTATCTGCACGTATTGGAGGGGAAATGAAATGGTAGATGTGTTTCTCTATACTTTAAATGAGGGAGGCAAGTGTTATATATATATTACTGTATAATCCAGTGTTATATACAAAACTAACTTACAGTATTGAAAAACTGGATACATAAAAAAAAAAAAAAAAAAAAAAAAACAAAATATTATTGACATTGAATTAAATAATTTATAATATCAGCATAATTCTAATGATATGATTCGGAATAATTATGTTGCGCGCTAAAAGTAATCAAAATGTGGATAAAAAATATTTGCTATATTATCATTTCAAGAATAAACGCGTTTGGGTACCCGATAATCAATATAGACAAAGAGCTACAGATAACGTTTGGGCAAAATAATATATTAAAGAGACAATAAAAACCCGTCAATTGTACGGTAAAGATCATAATTATAATTTCTTATTGGAAACTCATATACGAGTTATGTTAGCGATACTGTTAAACAGGTTAACTATTTCTTATTTTTAAAACATGGATAATATTTGGCAGTTTGCAGCCGAATTTACGATTTGAACCCGCAAGAAAATAATCCTCACCCGTCCGAAACAATGAGTATTGTGTTTATTATGTTTTTATTGTATCTCACTTATTAGCGAGATACTGTTTGTTTTAAATGCCTCGAATGTATGTTTTTACAATATTATAATATACGAGTAATTGGAAATAGTCTTTTTTTTTTTTCTAATTTTCAGAGTAAATATAGAAAATAAATATACTACGAAAATCAAGACTATTGTAGAAATAATAAAAAAAAAAAAAAAAATTATAATCTTATTAAAATATATAGTATACTTGTTACTTATTATACTCTCGTATAACCACCCGCCCCCGCCCATGTTATTTACGCTTCTTTATAAACCTTTGATTCTTCTAAAAAATACAAGGTATACAATTACACTTTGTATAGATGGAAATGTACTTAGGTAATCGCATAATAAAGTTCATGTTAATAATTTATGACATAAAAACGTTGTACTTACTACTCGCAAATACTGTAATTAATTGTATTCGGAAAATTCAATTATAATGATATTAAAAAAAGTATAATATTTAATCGAATAAATATTATTAATTTTATGTAGCCTATAGGTAAGGTAGGTTTCATTGGAAGAAGTGATGAAGTCAATTTTTGGATTTTTTTTATATCGTTTTATCTTATGCAATTTTCCCCTTTATATTTGTATTGGTCTAAATAACATAGTTCAACACACGTTCCATTGAAAGTTAAAAGATCTTACTACGGTGTACATTTTGTTGAGCGCACAAAACCATAAGTCATACTATAATTATATGACCTATGCCATTTAGAACTACCTATGAAAGCAGTAAATGCTGAAAAGTATAAAAAAATTGACTGGCTTCTTCCCAGATCCCAAAAATATACTAATTAAACGGATTTTTATCTAGAATGATATGAAACGGGAGTATTTTTAATTCAATAAAAACACTCACTGACTTCTCTAATTTGTTTCCAATATGCCCTTGCAGACATATCTTTTACCGGTAGTACTAAAAATAATAATAATAATAATGATATTAGATAGGTATCGCGTTTTGAATAATATAATGTTTAAATTTCAATTTGCATGGTTATAATTATTATACTTGAATAAAGATTTGAAGTGAAGTTCGGTTTATACGTGTTTTGAAAGGCCGTAATATTTACAAAATTTGACTTTAAAAGTTATATGAAAAAAAATATATAATTATAAATACCACATTGCACTCATTTTGTTTTTACCACTAAGTTTAAGTTATAATAAACCTCCTGTTAAACATTTAAGCATTTTTATTTGATTAAACAATTTTATCCACAAAGCACATACCGAATAAAAATGACTTAAATACCTCGTAAAAAGAAATCGTCTATAAATAACTTAAATGTTTTAAATACTACGTCTAGAAAATGCAAATATAAGTTTTCTGTTAATATTTCAAGTCCTACGAATATTTGTTTAACTGAATTACAACAAAAATAAAAACAAAATTTAAAATAATGAAACCATTTTTTTGTAAACTTTTCTGATCTTTCTACATTTTTTTTCGCTTTTTCTCAATCATTAGAAAAACTACTAAACAAGCCAAAATACAACTTTCTTGTTCCCTAATAATAGATACAAAATTCAACAAAAAAGCTCACTTGTCGTTCTTTTATTGGAGCAATATTTCCGAAAAAAAAAAACATAAACCGTAAAAATTTAAAACAATGAAACTCGGTAACTTCGCAAAATATTTCATCGCAGTAAATATTTCCCGTTTTCCTATTATTTTATTTCCGATTTTTCTCAATTATTTTGAAAACCCCTGTGAAAATCAAAAAATTGTATTTTTTGTGCACCAACTTGGTCTAACAAACAACAAAAAAAGCCTATTGTCATTTTTCAACTGGAACAAGTTTTCTGTTCGAAAAATTGTTTACAGACAGAAAAACAATATACACACATTATAGTAAAACCAATAGATCTCTCATTGCGCTCCGAATCTAAATGTGATAATCTATAACTAGTACAATAAAGTTGTAAAATTAATAATATTAGTTGTAAAGATGAATATTACTTACAGTTGAATACTATAATAAACATTAGAGTATTAGATATTAGGTATTAATTAATGTCATATTTAAAGTTCAACTACAATTACATTATAGATAAAACTGAAAATAATTTGTGTACATTACTGTCCGAAAAACGTGTTCTACGGTTTTAAATATCTCTGTCAATACATTTTAACAGAGTGAACGAATAATTTTTTTCGTTTGGTGAGTAGAGATGAAATTAAAACGTTGAATTTGTTTCTATATAATCTGTCTTGACACAAAATGCGATTTGGGAAAAACAAATTTTAAAAAAAAATTGAACATTAACAGAGATATAAAAAAATTGTAGATTACGATGGGACATTCTGTATATCTAAAAAAAAAAACAAAAAAAAATATTTGTGCGGATTTTTGATAGAAATACAATTAAGTACAGGTCCCTTACGATAAAAATGTTAGTATTTGATAAGTAGATATGTTAATTTTATTTTAAATTTAAATTAGGTCGGTACGAAAATCAGCTACCAGTGAAATGAAAGCAATATTATTATGTTAATAATATGAATATTAATTAAATTAAATTATAAAGAAATAATGAAATACCGTGCAAAATATTAAAATGCATCTATGGATACGTAATGTTTCTATCAAAAATATAATTATATAGTTATACCTCTGGGGCGTAGGCAGAAATGTATTAAACTGCGGGGAGAAGAGGTGTGCAACGGGTAATAATCATTTTTATCTTGATTTTATCTCCTCAAGTATATATAAGTATTTGATAAGTATATAGATTAATGAAAAATCAACAGATTAATAAGTATGTAACCCATGCATTGTTTATAGGTAAAAAGCAACCGGATTTGTATGTTAGGAAGACTAATACTTATTTAGTGGTTAATAGGCATGCATCTTATTAGGTACATTTCACAATTATTTTTGAGAAATTTCAAAATAATTTTCGGTGAGTTTAAGAAGAACATAGGTACATGGGTAGTATTTGGCATATTATATAAAGTACCTTGTATTAGGATTTCCAATTTATTAGATTCAAACTGTACGGTCAACGGGATATCACAAATTGTTTCTCCGTAAAAGCCACGGTTTATCAAATTCAGTCATTAGCTCGTGGTTATAATTAATGTCCCATTACAATTAATATTTAATATTTTTTGAAAATTTTCAAACGTCTAAATTTCAACGAGGGCGAGGTTTCCAACCTGAAAACACCCCTCCCGGCTAACGAGTACGCTCCTGATGGCGTAATATGTATTTGCACCATATTTTCATAATTCTTTAAAACTTACGTTTTGTATCCAATGAATCCATATGGGTTTTATTTTTAATTCTTTCTAAAAATACAGGAAATTATTTCGTTGTAAATACAATTTTTTTTCATTCTTAATTTGTCGTATTGTTATTTCCTGGCTATTAAACTTTTATCAATTTACTAGCTATTATAAAATATTAACGAATTCAATTTAATATGTTAAAATACATAACGACCGACAGTACAAGATTTAAACTCTAGTAGATAGACATATATTGCTTCCGAGTCAAAAAAAAAAGTTTAGTAATAACCAGGCGCGTAGCCAGAAATTTCCAAAAGAGGTGTTATGAAAAGTAACAAAACTTATTAATTGAAAAAATTATGGACATACTTTGCACGATGGATGGGACACTGTTATACTCGTAAATGAGAAGTTAGGAAGGTAGGATGTAGCGGAGAATTGAATGTATATCTGTACGCAACGATTAATCAGCGTTAACGAAAAACAATTTTGAACGGAGTTCAGTTGTACATGTTTTGAAAGGCTATACTAATTGTGATTTCCGTCAAAATTTGATACTAAAATTCTTATAAAAAACGAACACTGTTAAGCAATTTATATAGCGATATAGTTACGTTTACGTATGGGGGTACCTACCTATAACCATATTGTAAAGTAATTATCTCGCACAATTTTATCAAATACATATAGTAAATAAACACGGTCGAGGGGGGGAGGAGTTTTAGTATATCACTAACACCTCCTTCACTACGCCACTTGGTAACAATTACATCATTTTAGTAAATCATATATAGATACTTAACATATGCCTTACTAAAATGTGAATAGTAAAATAATATAGTAAAAACAAAATTATTAAAATTTCAGTGGGTATGTCACTATAATAGTTTATATTATCCACTCCCCAAAATTAAATTTTACTTTTTTTCCTTTAAAATTAAAATTAATGTATATAGTTATCGTATATTACATTAATTAGTATAGGTATTGATTCAATAAGCGTGCATACCCCATTTGTTTGGTTTAATTTCGCATACATTTAAATTCTGATTTTTGTAATTTTTAAGTGTAATTAAAGCCGATATTTTCGAATACATAGATTTTTCACATTATTTAAGGAGTATCCCGTAGTGATAATAACTTTGGTTTTTCAAATGAATACCTAAATTAAAAACTCCACCAATAGACGGGGTATTACTTAAAACAAATTTTGCTGTTAAAATTGTTGATTTCCGTCAAACTGTTAACGAGATAATCCACTTTTTAAGTTTAGGATGGGGAGAATGGTGGAGTATCATTTGTGTGTTGACACGGCGCGCGCAGTGCGTTTTATTAGTGCTCCACTACTCTCCCCCCATACGCAGTATATTTATATGGAATTTTTAATATAGGTTCTCATATGAAAAACCAATGTTGGCAACACTATAGAATACTCCTTAAATATTTTGAGAATTCTAAATATTTTTGTAAAATATCGATTTTCACTACATTTTAAAACATCAAAAATCAGAATTTGAATATATGCAATATTTAACCAAAACAATAGGGTTCCGCGTGTTCCGCATAGTGAATTACCCTGTGTATGTATGTATACATAATATATATATATATATATATGTTTTGGCTATTTTTTTAGTTTTTTTCAAAACCACTGCTACATATTCGTATGAAAAAAAAAGAAGATACTGCTGACGAATATACATTTTTGTAGATGGTATGTCGATTACATAGAGTTATTTAATTCAAATCTGTACGTAACGATAAATGTGTACAAACGAAGTGCGCTTCTGGCCGATGTTCCGTTAAAAATATTTTTAAATTTCGTAATTTTTAAGATTCGCATTAGCATAGTTTAAAAGTGCTTCTATAAAAAACCTTATGCTTAAGTTTTACTACCAGTAAAACTTCTCCGTCGTTATTTTACGATAACGTCTTACCAGAAACCATTCTGGAGGTCGATAATTGGAGCAAAATTTCTGGTTGAAAAGCCGTTAGCAGACAGGAAAAAATGTCAATAAATAATTTTTAAAAAAAAACACACATATTTTAAATAATAATAATTCTTACAAAAATGTTTGAAACATAACCTTTATTGTCCCCCTTCCCTTTACTATCAAGGAAAAATAATTTAACCACTACCGCTGAAATATTAAAATGATTGACGAATTAAATGTATTGATAAAATATAAAATATATAAGATCATAGTCATTTAAGTTTTTAAAAAGAAACTTACCTCTGAGTGCTATACATTAAAATCACAAATATATAATATAATATTATATCCATTAACACATTCATTTTAAGTTCTTTTTAAATTTATTAATTTTTATCCTGCGAATTTAATCGATTTTAAACAGTGGTTTTAGGAATGTTTGCAATTAATTGCTTAAATAAAACGAATTATTATTACCAATACTATGTAAACAAACAAATTTACCTAATATTCTTCTTTTAAGAAAATGATTTAATTAAAAATCGTAAATAATTATCATACATTTCGATTAAAAATATAATTGTATTTTTATTAACAGAATATAATATATTTGAATATGATAAAAGCAGCTGTACTTACAATAAAATGAATGATCTATTCTCGTATGAAAAAAAAATATTCACGTTTAAATTACACGATATTCTATTTGTACATAAATTATTGATAGTCGAATGTGTAGGTACAATAATACATAATGGCTAATACCAGGTGATCCGTTTACTTAAATGTGGGTGGGTACATTTATTATCTCGGAAAGTATTAACATTTTTTTGGAATTAGTTTTCTAGAACATTTAAAAAACAAGCAGCTCTACAGTCTTTATTTTCGGGGGTAAAAACCACTGCCTACTTTTGACTTTCAAATTGCAACCTATATTAAAAACTCCATAAATAAATGGAGTTAAAATAAATTTTAGTGTTGACATTTTTGATGTCCTTCAATCCGTTGACGAGATATTCCGCTTTTAAGTTTGGGTTGGAAGAGAGTAATTATTGAGTATCATTTGTGCATCGGTAAACAGCGCGCTGCGTGTTAATAATGCACAATACCCCCCGCCATTTACCTTTTATTAGATCATTTCCTTGAATTTTTCGTCTATTATCGTATTCGATACACGGGACACTATACGTCTGTACCGAGGGGAGCTTCAGAAGATACAAGGCGAATAGCCACCTAGCCCCGCTAGTTCCGCTACTAAGTTGTAGTAGTAGTAGTAACCTACCTATAGTAATTTATTGTAGTGTAATGAAGGATTGTATTATTACTGTAGCGTTGGCTGAACACCATTCGGCTATTAATTATTGTATCTAACCACTATATTTAAACGTCCGTTATTGATACCCTAACAGATCGTTAAATTACTCGTTTCGAATAACACTTAGGTTGCAAACGACATTTTAAGTTAGATTTCACGATCTTTGTGAAAACGGCTATTAGTTATTCAATATTATATTAATGGAAAATTAGCACTGTTATTTATGATACTTATTATGTAGTATATTATTATTATTATAATTTTAATAAAATATCGTACACTTTTCACAAAGGTGATATTCGCCGTCTTCTAATCCTTTGAATGGTTCTAAAAAAACATGATCATTTAAAACATATTGCCGATATGGCCAGTAGAGCAACCGGGATTAATTTTCGGGGTGGTTAGGAATTTCATACAAATTTCCGGACAGGTTTTTGGGATAGTTAATGAAAACATATTTAACGTGCACGACGTAAACGTATTTAAAATTACAAAGAAATATCTGTTATTGCAATACAAATTATTAATCATTATATTAATACAAAATATCAAATTTCGAGAAGGGGGAGTCGGTGGTTACATCCCCAAACCCTCATCCTAGCTGGTTGTGACGCCAGATATGACTTAAAGATTTTTTTTTTTTTAATATATCTAAATATGATTACATGGTTCATATGATTTAAGCGTTATGAATAAATATAGATACAGTACAATTAGGTTGCTCATATTATTATAATAAAATTACAAGTAACAAATTCGAAATGTATTATTTATCCTTAAAGTATAAATATAGGTGCCTACTTAACTTTATTGCGCCTATATAACTGCAACTCAACTTAATAATATGAGTTGGTACATTGCTGTTTGATAGAATTCAATAGATTAATAGACATGGATACAGGTAGATTAAAAAATTAGTACTAATATGTACATGCATTTTTATACATTTTACTAAAAAATAAACTCTTTTACGTTCACGTTTGTTGATTAAACGGACTCGTGCATTAGGTCATACAATCATAATAAATGGTAACCAAATATGGGACCATACATACACGGGGCAATTTAGCTGATGCATTGAGAAAGCCATTTTTTGATTTTTTTAGGAGATGGGAAAAAAATATTTAAAAAAAACGGGAAAATGTATGCCGAAAACCTTTCGATTTTGTAATTTTGCTGTGCTTTGGTTAGAAATATTCTTAGAAACCTTAAATTTTCACCGAATATTTATATTGCCACTTTTACTTTGTTATTTTATAAAAACGTTATTTAGTGGGTACCTACGTATGTTAAGTTATTTTGATTTTATTTAGAAGCAAATATAATATATATACGTGATTTGCTTATTTGCTTAATAATATGATTATCTTCGTTGTTTTTTTTATTTACAAATTCAAAATAGTTTTCTTACCATCGTCTTGATCGTCTGTATCAGCGGCTATAATTATATACATATTGTTATTTGCGACATTGAAATGGGAAACTTCGAAGAGTTACCGAAAATTGAGGGTCGCTTGTAGGTAAACCCGACGTTATAGTACTCGTATTTTGAGTAAATTATATTGCATAATAAAATGTATACATTAATTCGTGTTATAACTCACTGTAATCCCGTTTAATATTTCGTTCAAAAAAAGGGTCTTGTAGTAGTTTTAATCCTAAAAAAAAAAAAAAAAAAAACACCCGGTAAAAACAATTATTAATCATTAGTATATTATGTATGACGTGTAAGTCACCATAACTATGAATACATATGTGTGTAGTTCGCCTACCTAAGATTAAAATTTCTAATAAACTGCAGTTAATAGTTATTATATTATTCAACCCCGTGTCCAGGGGGCACTGCCGTACTGTTGACATTTTTTATCATAAAATATAGTTGGTAGATATTTAATCATGCATATTATTCGTGATTCGACATTCGATATTTTCTACCAAAATGTTGTCATCAACTTCAGGGGTGATTTATGGTAGAAAATGTTGCTTAGTCGGCTCGGCGCATTGAGGTTTTAATTTTTTAACGTTACTTCACCTTCAGACATTTACAAATAGTCCAAAACAGTTAAAAAAATAATTAATTTCTTTGGAACTAATGCGGATTTACAACAATTCGTGGAGGTTTAAAACAAATGTTAAGTAAGCATATATTTTTAATTCATTACAATCCAATACGGACAGCTATGTTGTGTAGGAAACTGGCAAAAACTCAAGTCTTAAATATATTATAGGTACGTACGCATTTCATTCACTTCTCCTCAAGGGAAAATTTACTCGGCAGATAATTGTTTTAAGTCTTACTATAGAAGCATAGTCATAATATTTTTCATGCAACTATTAGGCATTATCTATGACTTAACCACTCAAATTTGTTTACTTATACCTAACGTATAAATGATTAACGTGTTAATCATACGAGTATAATGTATACATTTAAAAACAGATAAAATAACTAAAAGAAGATTGAATTTGATTCAATGTCAAACTTTTACCACTTATAATATAAATTGTATATTTGTAGAGATATTTACCATATATGTTTGCGTTCGAAAATTGAATAATTATCGTCAATATAGCGATGATAAGGGTTAATAGTTGAACATTTGACGTTAAAATCATTTTTAAAAGAAAACTTTTTTTTTTTTTACTCAGTAACTCAATTTTACGCAATAGAATAAAATTCGTTTTGAATGATATATTTTAATTTTGTATAATATTCGTAGGCAATTTTCAACACACACAATATACGGCACGATTTAAGAATTTTTCGATTAGACATTTGTACAAATAGTGACATAATAAATGCACATTTATTTTGCGGCATATTTTACACTTTATATGAGGTGTAAAATATCGTTTATTTTAGAAACCCTGCAGGTATACATATTAACAACAATCGAAAAATAGTACGTATGATTTTTACGATTTCTATTAGAATTTTAAACGATTATACAAAAAACTATTACATTACGATCAATTTTTTTTTTTTTTTAACGCTAAGTAGAACTTATGACGAATCTTGAGTAAAATTTTCAAACATTTCTGCTCAGTCAAAACAATTTTATCCACATGAAACTAAATGAATATTAAAAATAACTCAAGTTCAAAACTTAAAAATGTATTGGAAAATTATTACCTCGTCTAGAAATTGCTAATTTTTTAAAAATTCAGATTTCTATGATGATATTTTACTAAATTACAACAAAAAAACAAAATCGAAAGAAACAGAAATCATTGTGATATTTAGTAAATTTTTCTGTTTTCAAAAGTTTCTTTTTCATTTGTCTTAATCATTAGGAAAACTAAATTTTCTTCCAGAAAAGACGCTACACAAAATTTCTATTAGAAAAAGTATAAATAATAGAAATCGAAAAACGAGTCTGAGCGAAGTTTAGTTAAAAACAGTTTGATAAATTTAAATTTTGAATTTTAACTGAATTTTATAATTTTTCACTTAACAGATGATGCTAACATAAAATTTCACTTTAAACACTGATAAAAATAATAATACGATTTGTATCACATTTCAAATAGCTATTTATACAGATGTTTTTATAAAAAAAAATTTTGCAAATCGGTTAATGTTTGTTAACAGGCTTATAATATTGCACATTATACAATCAGCATACTATTTCATTGTACAATCGAACATATTTTATCATTCCTTCAATAGAATAATGTGAAATTCTTAATATTGTTTTGATCCTAAACAGTTTGGAATCTCCTCTCTCTTTATAATATTGATAAATATAAAAATTAATATACATGGTAGTTGGTACAAGGCCGCAGACTTGATACAGAGAGAACTGAGAAGAGGAGATATAATTTGAAGGCACTCCCCTATTTATATCAATTATTGTAGATTCGTATCCATATGCAAATGATTGGTTAAAAATTATTATTATAATACAACTAAATACGTTTTTACAATTACTAAAAATCGGAGAGGGAGGTAACAAAATTAAAACAATAAAACGAAATTAATTTTAACAGAATCCGTTATTCCGAAAATATTTTGACGTTTATTTTCGATTTTCCTCATTACTAGGAGTATGAAAAAAAAAAAATTATCTTCCCAATGCACCAACTAGACACAATTTACTGTTTCAAACTAAACTTGAAACTGATGGATGGCGAAAAATTTTTTTACAGACAGACCATAATATGAGTCAAATATTATAGTAAAACTGATAGCTCCGCTCAGTATTTTCTAATTCTATTAACAATTAAATGAAAACATATATAGTGAATATTAAGTTAATTTTAAATATTGTAAATTCATTTTTTTTTCTTATTTGTATTACTAACAACTAAAGTAAAACTAGGTAGTTCAATATAATAATGTTAGAAATAATTTGTAACTACTAAAAGTGAAATGAGATAATCAATTTATTTAATTCGACTTTTTTTTTTCTATGAATATAAATAAGAAAAAATAGATAATGGAGGATAATGAAAACGGGTGCAGCCACTGTTATAGATAATTCAATGTATATCTGTAAGCAACGATAAACCATTGCTAACGAAAAACCGATTCTGAGCGCAGTTCAGTTGATAGCGATGCTTTTTCAACAATATATATGTAAAATAATTAAATAAGCATTATATGTTTTCTATAATAATATTTCTTTAATATTGTACAGATTTACCCGTTTTTCCTATGTTTTTTCATATTTGCTGGGAAAACTCTTGAGAAAATGGACAAATGACTTTCCTAAAGTAACTTCCCAGTCAGGTTTACTTTCAGAAAAAGTGCTATTATTTTAAATCGGAGCAAAATTGCTGATAGAAAAGTTGTACAAAGAAAAAAAAAGGCTAAAATGTTTTTACTAATATTATAGGTACTACCGTACATTTTCCGACATTTTATTCTGGTTTTTTCCCAGGTATTATGAAAACCGCATAAAAAATTTAAAAAATTACCTTCCTAAATTAACATGGAGATAAATTTTTCTTTTAGAAAATAAGCTACATTTGATACATCAGAGCAAGATTTCTTGTAGAAAAGTTTGCACAACAAATCGAGGGGTATTTTTCGATTAAAATAGTTTAAGGGAGTGATAGCTTAAGTCCCTAGGTACATCAAAAATATATTTGTTTTTCCTTGTTTAGGTAAAAGAGGGAAAGGAACCTTCTGTTAAATTTTCAAGCATTTCTGTTAAAATCTATCAATTTTATCATGGAGTACTTACCGAATACAAATTACGTACAAAATCGAACAATTAAAATGTCTATAAATGGCTTAAATTGTTTGAACATTTTACCGTGGTTAGAAGAGGAAAATTTAGGTTTTCTAACCAAATTTTAAGTCTTTACAAATATTTTTAACGGACTTACAATAAATAACAAAATTGAAATTATAATAAATGCATTATTTTGTAAATATCCTGATTTCTTACGTTTTATTCTGGTTTTTTCCCCAGATATTATGGAAACCGCTTGGAAAATCAAAAAATGACCCCTTAATAGTAATATTTTGAAAATATTTCCTTTTAGACGTACATATTTTTGTACATATTGGAGCAAAATTTCTGGTAGAATTTTAGTACACAGGATAAGAAAATAAAAATCTTTGTAAAACCTATAAATTTTTCGCTACACTCAGAATCCAAAATTATTATTGATTATATTTTTTGTATATTTGTGGGATCGAATAAAAAAAACATGAAATAGAGCGTAGTGAGAAAATTTATAGACAGTACGCATATTATTGGATGACCATTATTAATCGCAATATCTCAGCCTGAATTTTGGTTCCCACTACTCCGCCGGTCTGTTTCGGCTTAAATATCGAACATATCGAACAAACGACGTACGAGGAAGTATATGAATATATTTCTATTGGGTCACGGTTAAATTGAATTTTCATGTACTTTTAGGGTCACACACAATACGTTTGCAGCAGTGGGTATTCGGCGGAAAACAAAATAATATAATGAACTCCAGAAAAAAAAAAAAAACTTGTAAATCCTGTAAACGCGGGTCGTCGGGTTCGGTATTCTTCGTGTTCCGATACCCGTCGGGAATTAGAAAAACGCCAACGGTAAATTCGGACCAATGACTGTCCCCGGGGATATCATCGACCACATCGACGATCGCCACGGATGGAATGAAATATTTTTTATAAACGTTCGTCTCCACGGGTGACAAAAAAAACAAGTCGGCGATCGAGGGCAGAATAAATTGTTTTATTTTCGGTCTTAATCGGTACCTCAGAAAATTATGATTTTCTTTTTTTTTTTCAAATTCTGAACGTATTGATTTTACTACGATGTGCGTCTTTAAAATGTTTCTGCTAGCAAAATTTTTACAAGAAATCTAGCTACATTTATAAACATTAGCAGTGGTTTGAAATGTTGGTTAGTTTTTGCGTTGGGGAAGTAATTTTTTAATTTTATTTGTAGGTTTCTTAATAATTTGGTAAAACGTGATATTTTTACGCAATAATTGCATAAAAAGAAATTCGCGCATGTTTAAAATAAAAATGAAAATCGTAAAAATGTGATTAAGTACACATTTTTTTTGTTCCATAAAAATGGACAAAATTTGTATACGAATAAAACACGAACAATTGTGATTTATTTCCTAGTTAGAAATTAATACAATTTTCTATTTAGGTTTATAGGAAACACATCGAAACCAACTTCGCTCAGAACCATATTCTCGTTAGCAATAATTTTTAGTTTTGAATAATGTAATTTCCATAAATTGTCACCATTTATTTTTTTATTCGTCTCTTTTGTATTTGTTTGTTTGGTTTTTTACATCAATTTGTTTTATCGAACAAAAAAAAAAGAAAATAATAATAATAATAATATATTTACTAACATTTAAATATTTAAAATTAATAAAATGAACAATAATTTATTTAATAAAAAATAAAGCTATACACATTAAGATAGTCGTGTACTTATTTTTTTTTTATTATTATTTATTATAATATATAACATTGTCCCCTTTCAATATAGGCAATATAACGAACATTCAAAAAAATAATATTACGCGAAGAGCGAGTCGATTGTCTCCAAATACAAAAAAAAAAAAAATAAATAAAAAAACAATAATAATAATATAATAATTAATCACTGTACCGGTCCAATATCGTTCCAGACGATCAAAGCTCGTAACAGCAAACGACTCGCTCTCGTTTAGAATTAAATAAATAAATTTAAAAAAAAAAAAAAAATTATTATTAACCGCGAGTGATGTATAACAGAAAAGTAAATCGTCCGGGTGAATCTTATTACCCAGATAAATTTCGTTTTCTTATCACACCGGATCACGTACACAGCATACAATATTATTATGTATTATATATTATTATTATATAATATATAATTATATATATATATATTGACAAAGCATTTCCTCGTATGTGTTTTGGTAATGCAATACATAATATAATTATTTGCATACAATAATACATTATTGTTTCGTTAAGATGTGAAAACAATTATTTCTAATGGGGGGGAAAAAAAAACCATCATAGACCTGCACGAATAGTACAATAACGATGATAATAATAATAATATTATGTAGAATCGATTTTGTACGCACAAACGACGCTAAAATTATATAATCGTAATAGTAATATAATAAAAAAGATAATATTTTGGTAAGCAGGCGTGTGTGATGGTATATATATATATATATTTTAATGTGAGTGTTTTTGTTGAATTGCATATAAACAACAAGGACACCAATTTGTTCTCGTATTATATAATAATAATAATAATAGTAATAATAATAATAATAATAATAATAATAATAATAATAATAATAGTTAAAAAAAAAAATTTACAATTTTCGATATTTACAAAATTTTGAAAAATAAAAAAATTAATTATCATATATTATATTATATTAATAAAACGTGTCGCGAGCACGTAATAATCTATAATTTTAATAATAATAATAATAATCATTCATTTAATTATTCCTATTAAGACTGCGGTTATAAATAGCCGTTATCAATAACCGTGATTAAAACGTACTTTCGATAAGACGATATCGAATTAAACGCACGAATGACTGCACCAACAATGAGAGAGAAAAAAAAACAAATTTTACACGTATAATAGTAATAATAATAACGTATAACGTAATATATATATAGGGATAAAAAAATATCATAGAGAAAAAAAAAGAAAAAAAGTCATGGCGGAGAAAACAAAAGATGGCCTTTTTCGGGTAACGACGAAATTAAACAATAATAATAATAATTTAAAAAATACAATCACAATATATAGTTGGTTAAAAAAAAAAACAATAATAATAAAAGCGATCCCAAACACCTATATAGTATAATATTAATAATAATAGTTTGGGGGGGGGACCGCCCGATAAATTTTTTCCTTCTTTAGCGACGTCACGGTAGCTGTCGTCGTCGTCGTGAGCCTGCTACTCCTCTAAACGTCTAGTGGCGGGTTGGCCGTCACGACAGCGGATGGCGACGATCACCGGCGATTGACAACGGCCGCCAGCAGAGCGGCCAACAGGACTAAAGCTGGCATGCCAGGCGTGGTGGCACTGCTCGACTCGGAACTGCACGGACCTGAAAAAAAGAAGAAATATTACGTATCTACTACAGTATGTAAAACGATTATAAAACACGTAGATATAACTGAAAATAGCGAGAGGCGAGGGACTAAGCCCACTCCAGACCTACCTTAAACTTCCAAAAATACTTAAAAAAAACAGCGTTGTGTTTTATTTAGATCATTATTTTTTCTACCTTTTACCTTATACCCAGATAAGTGGGAAATAAGTTATTTAAAATAAATACAATTGAATCGTCTAGACAAAATGTACGTTTTCAATATTTATGAATAATTATCAATTATGTTCCTTATTTTAGAACAGGAATTCAATATCTCCGTCACACGGAGAAAAATAGTCAAGATGTCCTTCCCTCTGAACTGTCTTAGTACCAGGTCTGGTAACACTTTACTTTATAGTAACGTCAAAAATTATCTTTTTTATTTTTATTAATTCTAATCATAACTATCATGCCCATTATGTATTCTAATCATAAACTTATTAAAAATATAGATAGTCTATCAGTAGAATTCTGGCGGTCGTGAATATTGGCTACACTGTAACAAAACAATGATACAAGGCCTACATTACTGTCTCTAGAGAGCCTGTATAACAAAAAAGTGACCAACCGCGCAATGTGCGCTGATTTGTTGACCTCGTATCGGTGTAATTTATGTTCATCAACCACCAATTTGTATCCAAATACCTTTTATCAATGTATAAGTAGGAACACATCTATTTTTTTTTTTTGTAGTGACAATTATTTTCACTTTCTTAGTAAAATCATTATGTCAGAAATAATAGGAAAGTTAAGCCTACACTGTCATAAAATAGCGGTACATTGAGTATATGATAAGTTGAGTTGGCCACTCTTTCACTATTTATATAGGCTCTTTAACCTACCCTATCTAAGTTAGTAGATCTCCTAATACCCGATACTTTTGAATTTATTTTACAAATTATTATATTATTTATTTAACACAGTTGACATATTATTCAATAAATGATTGTTTTTTACTCAAAATAACGACTTGTAAATCAATTTTCTTAACAGTTCCCTTTAAAGAATCACTACAGCACCGCAGCTGAATATGACGTTTAAATTGGTTATCATTCTAACCACAACTGCTCACATCACTAAAACATCAAATTCTAATTACAACACTGCGCTTCTCACATTATTACAACATCACATTCTTGTCACAGTAGACATACGCATAATTTATTGTACTTTATCGTGATGATGTATGCCAAATGTGTGTATCAAACCAGGATCAAAAAAATAAACATAAGTATTAGAACTAATTACATAATCTCATTAATTCGGTACCCAGATAATTACGTACTTACAAAACAAATTGAAAGATTGTGATCAAGTATTTTTCTAGTAAGTATTTGTATTAATTAGAATGATTTATAGGCAATTAAAATTATGTAATATGTATATTTATACTGTTAATATTTTCAAATGTGAATAATGTATTACACGATTTGGAAAAAAATCCTGTAGGGGTAAGAAACGCTTAGGAGGGAGGAGGAACGGGGTTAGAATATGTAAAAAGCAGTTTTTTCTTTCTTTCCAATAATTGAATAACTTAATTTGAGCGACGCAACGCTGCCGAATGATAACAACTGCTATAGTAGTAATAATGGGGTAGGGAAAGGGGTACGTCATTGTTATTATCGTTGTACACACGCGTGTCATTAAATGTCACGACGACGAATATCAATTAAAACCGATTCCGGTCTAACGGATATACTATTCCGGACGGGCGTATACATGCGCGCACAATAAACGCGTCCACTTAAATCAAGAGCATCCGGTAAACGTCACCTCCCTCCTCACCATAAATCCTGACAATTATTCCTCTCTCTGGGCCCGACGAGCATCGACGAGGAAAATGGTTCTTTTCGTTCTCTTACAAATAGTTATGTACCCACACTACTTTTTCTCCATCACAACTGTCGCCCATCGTTGTCGTTTTTGTATTTTTCCGATGTGTACTACCCACGTGTAATTTTTCACAGTGTGTCCACTCAACAATAATATCGTTCTCGTCATGCTTTGACGTTTTTATCTCTAATATATATCATATTTGTTTTACCACCAACAACGCCCTAGTCGCTATCCACAATTACTAGGTACTTCGGATATATCTCAAAAAACACACAAAAGTTATAATATCACGGATATAATACTGTTAGTTTTTGTTCGTGTGCAATAATGACGTATAGCGGATGATGCGCTTCTATAGGATAGACGATGTATTTCGCGAAAGTCTATCATCCCCACGTGTCGCTATTATGAAAATAGACGTTGAGACGTCTCATTCAAAGTTTAAAACAACACAACATGATTATCTGCAACGGATCGGGAACGTATAGATTATTGGTATATCGTGAGTTCTGACATTTTAACCAGCCCGAAAGTATACAAAATGGATAGAAACGACATAAAATGAATTAAAACAAGTATGATTTGCGAGGCCAATAGTGATTTTCACGGTAGATCATTGGTTCAATCCGAGACTGACGTTTACAGGTAGCTTATAAGTAACTTACAAGTACCTATACAGGTATCTTGAATAATAAAATATATTTAATATTTATATATAACTATTATTTGAACATATTATATGGAACATATTATTTGTTTAGACCGGTGGACAGACGGACAGACATGTTTACCTTGGTGAGTTATATTGAACGTCCAACGCGGTATACCCGACAACGTATGCAAATGGCATGACTCCAGTATCGTGGCGATGTTTATCGTTTGCTGGGCTATTCCGTTCACTTGGGACATAACAAAACAGTATCGTCTAGGATTAGACGTCGACCGGCCCTGCATCGTGGATATTACGTAGTCGACGCCATTTTTTTCGTTCTTCCAGTGTCCATAACACGTGTAAGCTGAAAAATAAAAATAAAAATACGTCTCGTCGTTATTTGTTAACAGTACAGAGATTTTTATACCAAATTTTCGGCAGATAATCACCATGCTACGTGGCAGCACCGCCAAGATAAGTCATAGTCATAAATTATAAGGGTGTATACCGAATGGGTATTAAATAAAATAGATACAATACAAATTA